TGTCTTTGGGATAAACTTTAATTTATATAAGGATGGCTACCCCTGCTTTCTTTTGAGGACCATTTGAATGGTAAATGGTTCTCCAACCTTTTATTTTCAGGCTGTAGGTGTCCTTACGTCTAAAATGAGTGTCTTGTAGACAGGAAATAGATGGGTCCTGCTTTTTTATCCAGTCTGAAACCCTGTGCCTTTTGATGAGGTCATTAAGCCCATTCACGTTCAGAGTTACTATTGAAAGATATGAATTTAGTGTCATCATGATACCTATTCAGTCCCTGTTTTTGTGGATTGTTTCCTTGGACTTGCTGTTTCTTTTACAGAGTCCTCCTTAATATTTCTTGCAGAGCTGATTCGGTAGTCACATATTCTTTCAGTTTCTGCCTATCTTGGATGCTCTTTATCTCTCCTTCTGTTCTGAATGAGAGCCTTCCTGGATAAAGTATTCTTGGCTGCATGTTCTTCTCATTTAGGACCCTGAATATATCCTGCCAGCCCTTTCTGGCCTGCCAGGTCTTTGTGGAGAGGTCTGCTGTTAACGTAATACTTCTCCCCTTAAAGGTTAGGGATTTCTTGTCTCTTGCTGCTTTAAGGATCTTCTCTTTATCTTTGGAATTTGCAAGTTTCACTATTAAATGTCAGGTGTTGAGCAGTTTTTATTGATTTTAGGGGGAGATCTGTCTATCTCCTGGATCTGAATGCCTGTTTCCCTTCCCAAATTAGGGAAGTTCTCAGCTATGATTTGTTCAAATATGCTTTCTGGTCCTCTGTCTCTTTTGGTGCCCTCTGGAACCCCAATTAAACGTAGATTTTTACTTTGAGGCTGTCATTTATTTCCCTTAAGTTATCCTCGTGATCTTTTCTTTTTTTTTTTTAATTTATTTATGATAGTCAGAGAGAGAGAGAGAGAGAGAGAGAGGGGGGGGGGGGCAGAGACATAGGCAGAGGGAGAAGCAGGCTCCATGCACTGGGAGCCTGACGTGGGATTCGATCCCGGGTCTCCAGGATCGCGCCCTGAGCCAAAGGCAGGCACCAAACCGCTGCGCCACCCAGGGATCCCTCTCGTGATCTTTTCATTGTTTGTCTCTTTTTTCCTTAGCTTCCTTCCTTGCCATCAACTTGTCTTCTATGTCACTCAGTCATTCTTCTACTTCGTTAACCCTCGTTGCTAGGACCTCCAGTTTGGATTACAGCTCATTTAATTGATTTTTAATTTCGCCTGTTTAGATCTAAATTCTGCAGTCCTGAAGTCTCTTGAATCCTTTATGCTTTTTTCTAGATCCACCAGTAGCTTTATAATTGTGCTTCTGAATTGGCTTTCTGACATTTAATTGTAATCCAAATTTTGTAACTCTGTGGGAGAGAGGACTGTTTCTGATTCTTTCTTTTGTGGTGTGTTACTCCTTCTAGTCATTCTGCTCAGTGCAGAGCGGCCAAAAACAAGTTGTACTGGAAAAAGGAGAAAGAGGAAAAAAGGGGGGGGGGTTGACAAACAGAAAACAAAAAATAAGAGGGAGTATCCTCTGATTCTATATACTGTAAATCCCTCGACTTCCCCTGGAACTTTCCAGGGCTGCTTGGTCAATAACTTGCTTTTCCCCTGTCCCTCTAGCTGGTCTTCTGTGGGAGGGGCCTGCTGTGGTGATTCTCAGGTTGTGCACCCAGGGGGAGCTGCCCCATCCCCTGCCAGGTGCATGGCTCAGTGGGAGCTGTTTATCCTGCGATGCCCCTGCTCAGTCCCAGGTACAAGGTGACACCAGGAGAAACAACAACAGTGGCAGCGACCAGCTCTCCGGCTCTGGAGTCAGCTCCTGCAGTAACTACCGCAGCTCCCAGTCCGCAGGGGCCTGGATGCTCCAGGAGTAGTGGGCACTGATCTGTACAGCTCGGGGCAACCCGGCAGCAGGAGGGTCCTTGCTGCCCTATGTCCTCTTGGCCTCCTCCTGTCCGGGGGGAACGCTGAATGTTGGACTGTGTCCCCCGGCACCCTTGGGTCCACGGCCTGCACCGCTGGAATCGTGCTCCCGGGACTATGCAGCCCCCTCCTCATGGAGCCGCTGCCTGAGCCACCCCACCTGAGCTGCTCCCGGGGGCCCCGCCGAGCTTGCACTCTAGCCCTTTAGGGAGCTCGGCCCGTGGTGTGCGGCACGCTTTCCCACGCAGTTCCTCTGTTAGTGCCCCTGGGAGCCTGAGGGCATCCCTACCTCCTGTAATCCTGCCCGAGTTCCCTGGGAGCGCCTTTCCATCCAGGAAGATTGGTGTTTCTGCTTCTTCCGACCTGGGGTTTCCTGCCCTCAGGGCACTCACTGCCCAGCCTTTGCCCGGCTCCTCGCAGAGCCCCTACCCCTGTGATGCTTTTCTATTTATTTTTTTCCTGTCTTCCTACCTTCATAGAAGCGTGAACTCTTCACACTGTAGCATTCCAGCTGTTCTCTCTTTAAATCTCAGGCTGAATTCGTAGGTTTTCAGGATGATATGAAAGTTATCTAGGTAAAAAAAAAAGAAAAAAGTTATCTAGGTAAGTTGGTGGGGACAGGTGACTTGGGGACCCTACACTTCCGCCATCTTGCCCCCCTCTCTACTATTTTCTTTATAAAGTGATTTTGAGTATTTTTTTGTTTGGTGTGTGTGTGTGCGCGCGCACGCGTGTGCTCTAGGGAATACTGTATTCATACAAAACATAAAACATATGTACTAATAAAGCTATTTTACCACTTAAAGTAAATTGAAAGTGAAATATTACCAAATTATTTAGGTTCCTTTACTCTCCCCATTTATAATTTAGTGTTCTTTGTTTTTAAAAAGATTTTATTCATTTAAGAGAGAAAGAGAGCATGACCAGGGAGTGGGGAGGCATTAGAGGGAGAAGCAGACTCCTGGGAGCCTGTTGTGGGACTCCGTCCCAGGACCCTGGGATCCTAAGGCAGATGCTTGACCAACTGAGCCACCCAGGCATCCTATAATTTAATTTTCTTAAGTATTACCTCTATACACATTGAAAACCATATCAAATAGGGATATTTTGATTTTAGCAGTCTAAATTAATTTTAAAAACTCAGGAGGAGAAGAGTGGTCTGTTTAATTTATCCATGTATTTGTTTTATTGCTTTTTCTTCATTTCCTGGTAATAATCTTTTATCAGCATTTTTTTAAGACTTTATTTATTTATTCATGGCAGACACAGAGAGAGGCATTGACACAAGCAGAGGGAGAACCAGGCTCCATGCAGGGAGCCCAATGTGGGACTTAATCCCGGGTCTCCAGGATCACGCCCTGGGCCAAAGGGGGCGCTAAACCACTGGGCCACCGGGGCTGCCCAATCTTTTATCAACATTGATGTTAATATAGTTACTCCAGCTTTCTTTACATGAGTGTTAAGATGCTAACTCTTTTTCCAACTTTTTAACCTATTATTTTATATTAGCATTTACATGTGTCTTAAAATTTCAATTTGTGCCTTTTATTTGGGGTGTTTGGATCAGTTACATAATTTAATTATTGCTGTTTGTTCCTGGCTTTTTTATTTCTACCTTATTTCAAATTGAGTATTTTGCGTGTGATTCTGTTTTATTGCTTTGTTGGCTTACTAGTTGTTACTCTTGTTCTACTGAGAATTTTAGGAATCAAAGTATGTATCTTTAATTTGTCATAGTCTATCTCAAGTACTATTATACCACTTGACATAGAATATTAGTATATCACAACAGCATTATACATGCCATTTTTCCTGTCTTGATCTTCTGTTTTTACACATTTTACATTGATATTTATTAAATATTGAACTGTATTCTGGTTTTCCTTTTTTTTTTTTAAGATTTTATTTATTTATTCATGATAGAGAGAAAGAGGCAGAGACGCAGGCAGAGGGAGAAACAGGCTCCATGCCAGGAACCTGACACGGGACTCGATCCCGGGACTCCAGGATCGCGCCCTGGGCCAAAGGCAGGCACCAAACTGCTGAGCCACCCAGGGATCCCTCTGGTTTTCCTTTAAACAAGATTCCTTTCCTCTAGTTAATTGATATGTCATTACCTTATATATTTACCTTTTTTTTTTTTTTTGGTGAGAGTATTTTTAAGTTTTACTTGCTTAGCAGATACCCATTATACACTAATATTAGTAACTAGATCCTCAGACTTTACTCATCTCATACCTGAGAGTTTTTGTTCTTTTATAACCTCTCCCTATTTCCTGTACTCCCCAGTTTCTGTCAACCAATATTTGTAGCTTTTTCCATTTTCTCTCTCTTTCTTCTAGAACTACACTTTTGTGAGGTATTTTCCTTTTGTCCGTCATATCTTTTATACCCATTTTGATATTTTCTGTCCCTTTTCTTTTTTTTTTTTTATTTCTTATGGGTAAGTTCTTTGAATATATGTCTTTGTATTCCCTAATTCTTGTTAGCTATGCCACGTCTGGTCTTCTGCTTTTACATTGAGTGTATTAGGGGTTCTGGCCTCACCCCTAATTGTTTATATCTGATACTGGGAAATGATGTCCCTGGAGAGCTAGCCTGTATTTTGGGAGACTAGGGATGCCTAATCTCCAGAGTATTATTAATGGTGCCAACAAGAGGTTCTTTTGTCATAATACATGGAAATAAGATTATCTTTGCTATAATTCCTATATTCAGAGAATATTTTTATAAGTTTTGAAGCAGTAAACAATTTTGAAGGGCAGCAGGATATATATTCTTTAGACAGTAGATATTTATTTGGTCTTGTTTGCTGAAAGAGTTTATGATTTAGTAGGATGGGCCCTAGAATGTGGATTTCTTGAGTTTTTTGCTGATGCTGATAACACAGCTGGTCTGGGGAATACATTTTGAGAACCACTGGATTAGATTATCTTGACATAGGGCTGTGATTCTTTTACCTTGATTAGGGGTGTTGTTTAGTGTGGGAATCATTTTATTAGCTCTTAATAAAAGTTCTGTAACAATTTCCTTTGGTGCCTAAGTTAAGTAGCTTTTTTAAATTCACTGCATTAATGTTTTATTTTAGTGATCATTCAGGATATGTTCGTCCAGTACCAGTGCCACGCAGTTTAAATAGTGATATTTCCTATTTTGGTGTTGGGGGCAAACAAGCTGTTTTCTTTGTTGGACAATCAGCCAGAGTAAGTAAAAAGATTTCTTATAAATGAAAGTTGATTAAAAATATTTTGAGGTTGATTCTGTTTAAATGTGTTAACCAGTTTAACTTTTAGTTAGGAATTTTTTAAAGTATTTTTAAATATTTAACAGATGATAAGCAAACCTGCAGATTCCCAAGATGTTCATGAACTTGTACTTTCTAAAGAAGATTTTGAGAAGAAGGAGAAAAATAAAGAGGCAATATATAGTGGCTATATCAGAAACAGAAAGGTATGATACATTTTTAACTTATTATAAAGTTGTTAGGTTGGACATAGAGAAGTTTTTTTTTTTCAATTTCTATCTGAGATACCTAAACTATTGCTTTAAAAACTCAAAGTATGGCATTTTCAAATTACGTTAATTTTCATTCTTTTTCCTTTAGTCATGTGAATAGCAAAAGTGACTATTTACATGCTTTTTCAGGCTGAAAGTCTTCAGACAGCAACTTATTTCATAATTCTAGCTTCCTGGAAATTGCTCATAAGATTGTAAACTTTTTTCCTTCACTGAGATTGAATTTTAAAATCTTTTTTGGTCTAACAATTTCAAGTTAGAATAGTAAGTGTTTATAGGATAATGGGCTTTTAGGAAATCAGAGCTCCAGAGAAATAAAGGAATAATTTCTGTTAGAAATTTGCATTCAGATTCTAATTACAATGAGCAGAATGTTAACAAATTTGTGTCGTGGTGGTGAGTATATTATATTTATTATTTTATTCAACTTTTCTCACTTGAAACATTTTAGAATTTTTTTTAAATCTTTAAAAAAAAAATATTTTTAAATAGGCTCAATGCCCATTGTGTGGGACTTGAATTGATGACACTGAGATTAAGAGTCATATGCTGGGGAACCCTGGGTGGCGCAGCGGTTTGGCGCCTGCCTTTGGCCCAGGGCGCGATCCTGGAGACCCGGGATCGAATCCCACATCGGGCTTCCGGTGCATGGAGCCTGCTTCTCCCTCTGCCTGTGTCTCTGCCTCTCTCTCTCTCTGTGACTATCATAAATAAATAAAAAAAAAAAAATTAAAAAAAAATTAAGAGTCATGTGCTGTACTGACTGAGCCAGCCAAGAGCCCCTAAAATCTTTATTTATTTTAAAGTAATTTTTAATTTTGTAAATTCTTTTCTGGTTCTAAAACAAATTATAAAAATGTACGGGAAACTTAAGTAAATGTATAGGAAACTTAAATAAAAATTATCTCATTCTGGGAAGATGTATCTAGTTAACTAGTAGAATTTCTAGTCTAACTTTTCTATTATTTGTTTACAGGGGTTTTTTTGTATGCTTTTTAATTCCAATGTTAACATACAGTGTTACATGTTTCAGGTGTACAATATAGGGATTCAGCAATTCCATATATTACTCAGTGTTCAAAGATAAGCATACACTTAACCTGAAACTGACATAATATGTGTTAACTACATTGGAATTAAAACCTCCTTATTGGCATCTTGAGTTGCGGGGGGGGGGGGGGGAGGAGGATCTACTCTTAATCTCCTTCATATACGTACTTTTTAAAAATATGTATTTACATTTTTGAGTCCACATTTTCTAACATTTTGAATATTTCTTCATTTTATAAAATATTTTCATGTACAGACACTTAATAGCTTCATAGTACTTTGTATTGTAATTTATTCTGTTGAGCATTTAACTTATTTAAAGGATTTTGTTATAATTATGAAGGCACTGCTATGAATGTCTTTGCATAGCATTTTGCACAAATTATTTTTTTCTTTATACAGATTATAGAATTTTAATAGTGTGACAATGAATTTGAACTTTTTAAATGTTCATTGAGGTGTAGATTACAAATTGCTTTTGAAAAGGTTAAACCCAAATTAAATATATTTCCCAAAACAGTATATGGAAGTGCCTATCTGTTAATTTCCTTATTTTTAAAGAGTGGAGTGGAGGGGAAGGCAGCAAATGCCAGCAATTAGGTGAAAATAATACCTTTTCTTTATAATTGGGTGAATTTTTTCGTGATTACAAGCCACTTTTATTTTCTAGATAACTTAACATTCTCCTCTGTACAGGAGAGTTCTTCATTTAGCTCATCCCACTTTTTCTTTTTTTTAAATGTGTTGCATTTATTACACAATTTACTTATATTTACATACTATTCCATCTTTTTCATTTTATGGTACCATCACAAAGCTCTATAAAGTATATTTGTGGAAATATTTGTCATGTTAAAACTGGTGAAAAATATGAATTGAGAATTTAAGTCATTTTAAGAACTTTATGATAAAATTTGGATAGAACTAATTAATGCCTCTCTTGGGTCATCATTTCTGCCATATTTTTCCCGTGATTTGTGGTTAGTCTTTTTTTTAAAAAATATTTTATTTATTTATTCATGAGAGACACAGAGGGCAAGGGGCAGAAACACAGGCAGAGGGAGAAGCAGGCTCCATGCAGGGAGCCCTACATGGGACTCTATCCCAGGTCTCTAGGATCAGGCCCTGGGCTGAAGGCAGCGCTAAACCGCTGAGCCACCTGGGCTGCCCTAATTTGTCTTAAGAAACATATCATGGGTCCTAATAGGCCCCAGGTCCTTTTCTTTTTCTGACCAGTCTTTTTCAGCCTACTTTTTGGTTTCTCCAACTCTTATACACAGTCTTATGTATAGAGTTGGTGGCTCTTGATTTACAACCAGGAGTCTTTCTTTTTCTAGGGTGTAATATTTATGCTTATATATATTCTTTTTTCTAGAGTGTAATATATATATATATATGAACTACTTAATACCAGTAGTTCTCAAATCTGTATTTCTTGTCAAGACTTTTAAGATTGAGACACTGAATCAGGCTGGACTCCATTGAGGAATGGAGGAATGAGGAAATAAATCATTTTAGACACTTCAAACAGAAAAGAATTTAATAAAGGGAATTAGATGCTTGCATAATTGTTAGAAGGGTAGGAATGAACTCTTGGCTCAACCTCATTGAAGGATATTGGTAGACTCCAAATTCACCTTCAAGGGATGCTGCAGCATCTGCTATAATCACATAGGTGGAGGACCACCACTGGATCAGGAATTTAGAAACACTGCCTTATCTGTGATCCAGGAGTTGGAAAGGCCTTGCTGGCACAGTTGCTCCAACACCAAAATACAGACCTGGCTATATAACTAGTGCTGTATTCGGCTAACAGTTGAAGCCAGAACCTGGATACTGGTCGTTCAAGTACCTTGCATGATGACAAAACATTCAAGAAATCTCATCAGATGGCCTTTGTCTCATTTTCCTCTTCTAAATCTTTGGCTACTACATCTATTTGGTGAAACTTATTTTGCATTCAGAACCTAAAGTGTAAGAGACCCTGAAAAGTAGACATTTTGCTTTCCATTCTCTGCCCCCAAGGAAGGAACAATAAAAGGTGGGATGAATGGGTGCTGAATACCACGTGATCATATATGGTACATTCATTTCCAGTTTCAGTTACATGCCTTTCCCAGATGTTCCATAAATAACTCACTTTTGGTACATCTGAAATAAAATATTATCTACAGACCTTTCCTGTTCTTTGTTCTTCTCCACTTTTCTCCCAACTACCTTTGTGCAATTAACAGCATCCTCTGGCCAAGTAGTTAGTAATTGTAATCCTTGTTAATCATTCACCATTCAATTCTGTCTTTTAAAATAGTTTCTTTTTTTTTAATCTATCCTCTCTTCCATCCATTTTCACTGTTTGATTCAGCCTTTCCAGACTCACTTTTTATCATGTATTTATCATCTACTTTAAACTACCTTGTTTGCCTTATACTCTCAAATCCTGCATGTTCTCATTGGGCTAGAATGTTCTAGTCATGTGCTAGGTAAATGTCACTCCCTTGTTAACTCTGTTGCTCTTGGTATATATCTTTAAAATGGCACATTGTTTTGTAATCATTTTTTTCTCATTTATCAGATGGCATTTGTCAGGAGTAAGGGCACAGCTTCTATCTTCCTTGTGCCCATGTTGAGTCATAGGATTTAGAAGGTGCTTGATAAATATTTGGTGAGCATGTATTACTAGTAAACTCACTCATCCACTAGCTCTCAAAGCGTATAAAATGTATACTGTATACATATATATCTTAGCTGTAATATTGTATACTATATATCTTAGCTGTAATATTAGTGCATAGGAATGCATTGGAATGGTTTTGAAGGGTTTTTATTTTTAAGAAAGTGATAATATATGCTTATTTAGAAATCAACCAGTTTCCTAGATAAAATAGTTAGATGTGTATCATTAAAACCTTTTTTGTATGTAGTGATATATATAATGTGTATATGCATATAATTTAAACACATGAAGACAGTAAAAATTGAGACGTTTATAATTCATATCCTCCCTACTTATTCCCCCTTCCCAAGTCCCTTCTCTAACTAAGCAAGCTATCAGTAATCTCTAAAAGTGGCCAAGGCCCCGGATTATTTCACTCCCTTTTAAATGCAGTCGCTTTGGGCTAAGCCAGCTGGGTTCAAGCTACATCTCAGTTTTCTTGGATATGGAGGGCTCAGCATTAATTTGTCCTGACCAAGTTAAATAGTATCCCAGGCAAGGACTCACTCCATGCTAGGGTAAGTGTCCTCAGTTTTTTTCAGCATCTTTAAACTCAGTATATTTTTTTTCTTTTATGATTCTAAAATTGATTTGGCATTGTGGTATTAGGGTACTTATGTATATATGCCAGTTTAGCAGTCTGTTAAAAGTATCCTGCTCTCACACTATTTCACATACTCAGCTGATTTGTCTTGGGCCATTTTCCTTCAAAAGTTTTTTGAAGCCTCTTTATGAAACTAACCGAATCATATTAAAAATTAATATAAATGTTATTTGTATATTACAATTAATTGTTTCTAATCTGTTGTATTTATATTCACTCCCCTAGGCATCTGATTCTGTTCACATTACAAATGATGATGAAAGATTTCTACATCATCTTATCGTAGAGGAGAAGGAAAAAGATAGCTTTACTGCTGTGGTTATCACAGGAGTACAACCAGAACACATACAGTACTTGAAAAATTATTTCCTTCTTTGGACAAGACAGTTAGCGTAAGTAATTATTTGATTCAGGACATGTTGCTAAGTTCCCTTTTTAAGACAGAAAATATTACAGGGGATCCCCGGGTGGCGCAGCGGTTTAGCGCCTGCCTTTGGCCCAGGGCGCGATCCTGGAGACCCGGGATCAAATCCCACGTCGGGCTCCCGGTGCATGGAGCCTGCTTCTCCCTCTGCCTGTGTCTCTGCCTCTCTCTCTCTCTGTGTGACTATCATAAATAAAAATAAAAATTAAAAAAAAAAAAAAGAAAATATTACAGATACATTGAAACCTCTTGGCTGTATACTTTGCTTCTGTTAGAAGCTTCTGTTTCATTTCCTTCCCTTCAGTACAATAACCAGGATTCTGAAGTTGGCATTAAAACAGTTTTCTATTCTGTAAATATTCATTGATCACCTATAGTGTATTGGTCATTATTTGAGGGGCAGGCTTTTAAGACCTATCATAAAATTTAAAATAAATTTATCAAATTCGGCTCCACCACTTCCATATTCCCCTTTTGTGCTTCTTCATAGCATGTATCATAATCTTCCATACCATGTATTTTCATTTTTTTGTCTGCTTTTCTCTATTGAAATGGCTTTTTTTATGCACCGCTATTAACTAGTGTTTCCTATTAAAAGTAGTAGATGCTCCATAAATGTTAATCAGGTGACTGCATGAAGTCTAGTACAATAAAAAAAAAATGCAAATGTGTCTATAGGACATTTTAATAGTACTAAAAATAAATCTTTGTGTATTTATTCCAGGAAAACTTTTAGGGAGTGTAACATATTCCATTAGACCAAATTATCAAAATATTTAGTGGTTCTTAGTTTATTTCCTGTGGTTATATTGCAAAGACCATTTATGGAATTGTTTCAGTAATTTGCATTAGTCCAAATTACTGAGTCTTGCCAAAATGGGTACATCTGCATGAAATTTACTTTTTTTTATTTTTTTAAGATTTTATTTTTAAGTAATCTCGGTACCCAGTGTGGGGCTCCAACTCACAACCCCAGGACCAAGAGTTGCATGCTCCACCAACTGAGCCAGGTGCCCCCCAAATTTAAATTATTTAAAAACTATGGATATAAATGTATACTAACAGTTTGAAATTTTTTCTTTTACGGGAAAATTATTTTAAAAGTACCTTTTCTCTTGCTGAATATTGATGTTTATTGACTCTCTAACCCAAGAATTTAATTTTTTTTAAGATATTTATTTGAGAGAGAGAAATGAGTGGAGAGAGAGAAATGAGTGGAGGGAGAGACAGAGGGAGAAGCAGACTCCCTACCGAGCAGGGACCCCAATGTGGGACTTTATTCTAGAACTCTGGGATCATGACTGAAGGCAGACACTTAAACAACTAAGACACCCAAACAGCCATGTAACCCAAGAATTTTAAATAGGACTTCGGAATTTTTATTCTCTAAGTCCGTATTTCATTAGCTATTTTGTAATTATTTCTTTTAACCAAAGAAACCGAGTGTACATAACACCAAAGAATAACATATTACTTTAACCATACTTTGAAACCTGTTAAAGCTAATTATAGCACTCTTTCTCTCTTTCTGAATGTATTGTTGTAAACTTACTGTTGATTATGATGTTGACACTTTTGAAATGCATTAAGAAAGATCTGAAGATTTTCAGTCATTTGCTTTTATCTCAGTTTTTTTAGAGTAGCTAGGATAGTTTTTTAAAATTCATATGAAGGAATATTGCAAATTCCCGTTTGAAGAGTAACCACAAACATAATGTTTTAGCCATGAATAATCTCATTAAAATATCTTTTAAAACTTAAAATGGCAAGAGTTCTGAACTGGTGATTTTTGAAGGAATAGTGTTGAATTTATTAGTTTTGTTTGGGAATGTTGAAGTCAGATTGTATTGATGCTGTCAGGAGGGAGAATTATAGAATGATATTCTCATATTGAGATAATTTAAAGATATCTAATCCTACATTCTCCCGATAGTTAAGTCCTTTCTAGAACATTCCTGACAAGTAGAATTAGAGTCTGTTGCCTTCTGGTTTTCAATTTTTTGATAAACTCTACTTCTGGGAGATACAAGCTATATAGGCTTTTGATGTTGGAATGACCTGGGTTGTAGTCTGCCTCTCTAAAACTCTAAAGTATATAAACTTCTTGCACTCCAATTTCTGTATGTTTAAAAATGAGGTATAATAATACCTGTATCTCTGGATTGTTTTTACTATTACATGGAATACTATATTTAAGAATGCTTAGTATAGGGGCACCTGGATGGCTCAGTTGGTTAAGCATCCTACTCTTGATTTCGGCTCAGGCTATGAGGTCAAGCCTCATGTCAGCTCAGAATGAAGCCTGCTTGAGATTCTCCCTCTCCTCTCCTCCTCTTCATGTCAGCCAACTCCCCCCCCCCCCCGCCCCGAAAAGAAAAAATCCTTGGTATAGTGCTTAGCACCTACTTAAGTAAGTAATAGTTGTACAATTTTTTTTTATAGATCATTATATGAACTGTAATCTTATGAATTAAATTGAATTAAAAGTTTAAAGCTGTATTTCTATATTTTAGGCATATTTATCATTACTATATTCATGGCCCAAAAGGAAATGAAAAACATACATCAAAAGAAGTTGGACCTTTCAACAACATTGATATTGAAGTAAGATAAAATTCTTTCTTAAAATATTACAGATTATTACATATCTGTTCCACTTTCAAGGCACTCTGGATAAGAAAAAAACAGTCCATAACTAGACAATCCTTCTCTCCCTGTGGTTCTCCAAAGTACTTTGGCAATTTGATATTTAAGTAAAGAAATCATTACTAGATGTATATGTTTTTTGAACCTTTATTTACTATAGTATTTAATTTCACTTTTTTCCCTGGCTTCTAAAGAGATATGAATTGTTGCTGAACATCATGTCTCAAAGCAGAGAGAAAAAAGGATGTAAATGTTTCTTTTTGTTCATTGAAGTCTTACAGTGATGAAGTAAGATTTAGAAGCACAGAACATTTGAATATTGAGGTCTCAATATCCTTGCCCACAGATTGGAAAGAATTTCACATTCAAATCATTGTCCTACTTCCTACCTCTAAGCAAGAAGCCTTAAATGTACTCTGAGTTATCTGTTCTTCAGCTCTGCTTTGCTCTTTCTTTGTTTACGTTCTGTTATTTTAATAGTATATTATATTCCTTATTGAGATGCTACTTAGAGTTATTTAACCCATATATAAACATGTGTATATTTAATTAAGCTATATAATTACTCGTACAAATACAAGTTTTTGCCTTTTCTGTTGTTGGATCATAAGTGGAAACAAAAGTAAAGTCATCGTAGAATTTAATTATTTTTGTTTTATTTTTATTTTAGATTTCTATGTTTGAAAAGGGGAAGGCACCTAAGATTGTCAACCTAAGGGAAATAGAAGATGACATGCAGACGTTGTATATAAACACAGCAGCTGATAGTTTTGAGTTCAAGGCTCATGTTGAAGGAGATGGTGTAGTGGAAGGGATTATTCGATATCACCCTTTCTTATATGATAGAGAAACTTACCCTGATGATCCATGCTTTCCATCAAGTATGTTAATCTGTTATCTTAGCTACAAAATGTAAAGTTGTGATTTATTAGTCGGGCTGTTAAGGCTAGATAACTAATAAAACTTTTTTTCTTAGGCATATCTTAAGTATTTATAAATTTTGTAATTCTTGATTTTTGTGTGAATTCACTTCCAGATGAATAAAGCACTGGCTTTAAAGAATATTACATATTCTTTACTCATGGATTTCTTACTGAATTTCTAGCTATGGACCGCATATTTAATCCTTTATATATTCCCCATATTGTCTTCCCATTATCTTTGTAGACACTTGTAAAGAAGCTTAAACTTTATGTAATCGTATCAGTTTTTTCTGTATGCTTTCTGATTTTGTCTTGCTGTGGAAAGACTTCTTATACTTAAGATTATAAAAAGATCCTGTAGTTTTATTTTTTAATTGTTTTATGTTTAAATCTTTAATGTACTTACAATCTCCTTTTTTGTGTGTACAATGAGGTAGGGCTTTGACTTAATGTTTTGCATGTGAGTGTTTGGTTTCCTAGGACCAATTACTGAAAGTTGCTATTTTTTAAATAGTTTGAAATATTATTTTCATAATTACATTAAATTCCCCTAAGTACATAGATTTGGATTCTTTACTATAAGGTATTGATCTATTTTATATTTACATACATGAGTAATGATACTCTTGTAGCTTTATACCATGTATTAATACCTGTTGGGTAGGAAACTCACTATTCTTCTTTGAGAAAATTCTTAATCTGCTTTTCTAGATAAATTTTGGAATCACTTTATACATTCACTTTTAAAAAATCTTAATGGAATTACTGAAATTGCATTGAATTCATAGGTTAACAGTAATAAAAATTCCTCATTCAGAATACTTAGTATATTTTTAGTCTTGTGAGTTTTAGAACCAGATTACCTAATTTAAGTTCCATCTTTGCCACTGTCTATTGTGTAAACTTTGACAAATTACTTCTTCTCTCCATTTCTTTATCTGTGAAATGAGAGGTAATCTCTTTTCTTGGAGAGGTATTATATTAAATAAGAAACTGGGACAAATCCTTAGAATAGTGTCAAGCTTTATTGAGTAAGTGCTCATTCATGTTATTACTCAGTGGCTCTATATCCTTTCATTTTACTGACCTCTTTTTAACTTATTTGTAATTTTTGTATGCTGTAGGCAAAAAGATAAAGTTCTTCACAAGATATCTTAAAGTAAGAATCAAATAAATTGAGTGCTCTAGAAGAGTTCTCTAAAAGCAAAGTGATTTGGTTTAATAGAAAAGAACTTCTTAAAAAAAAAAGAAAACTTTTTTTTTTTGAGGGGCAAGAAGGGCTTATTTTAGGTGAGTGCCTTAATGCCAAAATAACTAAGATTTTACTGTATTAGGATCATAGGGTTTGATCTTAATTTGCTTGGGTATATGAAAATGTCTTGGTAAGAAGCATAAAAATGTTATAGACAGTTATGCTAATTATGTGTTTGATGCTTTGTAATATGTTACAATTGTGGCTGTGTATCACCTGAATCTGATCTTTGAAAATTTAGTAGTTCATTTAAAGTAAAATTAAATTTAGTATTATTAATTTGTTCAAATGAGATAAAGTTGTTGCTACTGGACACTGTAGATTTCCCAGGTGATTTTTATATGAACATATTGATTCTGACAGAATTGTGGAACTTATATTTGAGATACAGGATTCAAACTCCTATATTTGTAGGGAAGAGGGTTCTGCTATAGAGCATAATATATATGACCCTTTTACTGTATAAATAGATTTTAAAGATTATAGGCTCAGTAGCTAACACAGATAAGCATATAAGTAACTAAATATTGACCTAAATCAGAAATACCACTGGTATTGTGGAACCACTTTGGAAATCTGCATTTCTGAGGGCAAATGAAAGTCACTAAGTTTTATACAAAGCAGTGTAAGAGATCTTATGAGTTTTTGTTAAAATTTCTCTGAAGCAACTTTAATATTTCACTTGAAGTTGGTTACTCAGTGATAAAAATCACATAATTTTTATAGCAATAAAGTTTATTCCGCTGATGCTTTTTCTTTAGAATTAAAAGATGAAGATGATGATGATGATTGTTTCATACTTGAGAAAGCTGCAAGAGGGAAAAGGCCTATTTTTGAATGTTTTTGGAATGGACGACTAATACCATATACATCTGTTGAAGAGTAAGTTTTGATTTTTGCTGAAATTACATGCTTTATAAACCTAATTATTTTACTAATTATAATATTAATATTTTGTTCTGTTCAAGCTTTGACTGGTGTACTCCTCCAAAGAAGAGAGGGCTTGCACCAATTGAATGTTACAATAGAATATCTGGTGCATTATTCACCAATGACAAATTCCAGGTCAGCACAAATAAACTGACTTTTATGGATCTTGAGCTAAAGTTGAAAGATAAGAACACCCTTTTTACAAGGATTTTAAATGGACAGGTATGATTTTAAATATCAATTTTGAATATTGGTATGTTCTATTTTAAGTAAAATGAAAGTCACAAATATAGATTTGTACTAATAATTCACATGCTTTTTATTAAAACAGAAGAGTGTGTGTGTGTGAGAGCATTTATATGTTGACATTACCCCGAAATTTCAACGTGATTAGACTGTGTTTGGGTAAAATTTACAGATGTTCATTTAGATCTTAGTATCAAGACCTTGACAGTGAATAGAAGCCGTAGAAACATGTCAATTTAATGAAAGCATATGAGAACAATATTATATACTACAAGAGCTGTATGTTGAAGTACAGTATAAAATTTGGTAGACTTAATTTTTTTAATGATTAAGATACTGATTTGTGAACTGCAAATTAGAAAAATTTAAAGTGAAATCATTTTTAATTTTCATTTGGAAATGATATATTATGGAGTTAGGTTGTAGGAAGAAATGAACTTATTTAACTATATGTGTTACCTGTGTTATGAAAGCCTATAGTGTGGAGATTTCTACCTTACTAATTCTCTTAAAGACAAGCATTAAACAGCTTATACTATCTCCCAACAAAGCGAGGAACAATAAACAATAACACATTTTCTTACATATTATTAGAAAACACTTAGGGGCACCTGGGTTGCTCTGTGGTTTAGTGTCTGCCTTTGGCTCACGTCGTCATTCTGGGGTCCTGGGATCCAGTCCCACACAGGGCTCCCTGCAGGGAGTCTGCTTTCCCTCGGCCTATGTCTCTGCCTCTCTGTGTCTCTCATGAATAAATAAATAAAATCTTAATAAAAACCACTTAATTTTCATTTCATGTTTTAACTTTTTTGAATAGGTAATAGGTATATATGATACATAAAGGAAAAATGTGTTTTTATAGCAGTGTTTCTCAACTTTTTTTTCATTATCATCTTCATAAGGAGCTTTTTTAGCTCTTTCCTCCCCTAATCATTCTCCCCCAATGATATTTTTCACACTATACTGTATATATGTTTACTATATATATGTGTATCTGTGATTGATAAATGGAAAGAGATTTTTATCTCCTTGTTGAGAATGTGCATGGTTCACAGTGAGGAATTTTCTGCTCACCTCTTTCCCATGGCCAGCTAGTTCTCTTTCTTCTAGACAGCCAATGTTCATCATTCGTGGTGTACTCTAGGATTTATACAAGGGAAGGAAAGCTTTGTTGTTGGTAGTGGCGACTGAGACCTTGGTTCCAAAGATGATAGCAGAGATTTTCTTTCTTAGCAATGCTTCTGTTAAAAATCTATGGGAGAAAGCTCCAGCAAAATGTTTTAGTTTTTTATTTTTCTGAGGGTAGCGTATGTGGAAAGAAAAAAAGGAATGAATGCCAAGTGTCTGTGGTTATATTTGTTTACTAGTAGCTATGTTTCATAGAGCATTAAAGACCTTTTTTTTTTTTTTTTTTTAAACAGGAGCAGCGAATGAAAATTGACAGAGAATTTGCTTTATGGTTAAAGGACTGTCATGAAAAATATGACAAACAAATAAAATTTACATCTTTTAAAGGAGTTATTACACGTCCCGATCTTCCTTCTAAAAAGCAGGGCCCCTGGGCAACATACTCAGCAATAGAATGGGATGGAAAAATATACAAAGCAGGACAGTTGGTAGGTTTAACTTATTTCTAGATTCAATTTTTAAATAGAATTTGAAACTAAGATGTATCAGAATTTAACAACAAAATAATGCAAGTTTTTGGCTCTTCAGGAGCCAGGAAAGAATGAAAAGGTCAAACTCATTTTAATTACATAATTTAACATGGCAATTTTTAAAAACCTATTTGTTCCCCTAAATCTCAATTAGCAAGGTTTTTATTTTTTTCTTGGTACCAAACTGTACTCAAACGCAGACTCTTAATTTTTTTATGTGATATAAAGTAATATTAGGGAAAATGAAGAGATTTAGGAGAGGTCTTTTGTCCTTAGGGATATTACAGTTTAAAATCAGAAATAACCCAAACATAAATAATAGTAGATGAAAAGGGAATAAGTGCTATGGAAAGAGAGGATGAATACTTCTTTTGCAGTCTGGAAGGAGAGGGTGAGGATTTACTGACTTTGGATGGGCCTGGGAGAAGAGCAAATCATGAAATTCTTTGGGCAAGAAGTGGCATTTGTTTGGACCTTGAAAGAGGTAGAGGCTTGAGTGTTTGTACAGATATTACAAGGGTCAGAGGATGTTCATTTACTCTGTAAATTCAAGTCATCATATATTTAAAGCTTTGGAATTGGATGTGATCACTAGAGAAGTAGTGTGTAGCTAGAGCCTGGCTTTCCCAACATACGGGGGGGCTACAATGAAAAGGATGAGCTAGCAAAGGAAAATAAAAGGGATAATGGACGCCTGGGTGGCTCAGCGGTTGAGCATCTGCCTTCGGCTCAGGGTCCTGGGATCGAGTCACATATCAGGCTCTTTGCATGGAGCCTGCTTTTCCTGTCTCTGCCTGCCTCTCTCTGCTTCTCTCTCTGTCTCTCATGAATAAATAATAAAATCTTAGAAAGAAAGAAAGAAAGAAAGAAAGAAAGAAAGAAAGAAAGAAAGAAAGAGGATAAGCTGATGAGACAGAAACTAGGTATGGTATCCCTAAAGTCAAGCCAAGAGTTACAAGGAGGAGGAAGTGATCACTATGAGTAAGGTGCTTTCTCAGAGATCATTATCTGAGCATAGACAACAAATATAGGTAAGTGCAGTGAAATAGCCAGTAGTAAAGTTGGATTGTCCTGCAGTCTGTTGTGTATGAATGAAAGGAAATAGTTTAGAAATGAGGCTGAAAAAGTAGATTGTATATGAATTCTTAACAGTCCTTGTCCAGAGTTTCTGAATTGGACTAATGAAAATTATCCTTAGATTTTTAAAGCCAAGTAAGGGAAAAAGATACATAGGCAAGCTTTGAGCCAACTAATTTGAAAGAATAACTTGTCAGAGTTTGTAATTACTATTCAGAGTCTCAAAGCATGATTTTATAGGGAGGGAGGAAGGGTTTTAGGTATGTTGGTTTTCATATTTGACTTTGAAGGATTCATGGACCTTTTAGACACGTGCATAGCTCTGACATTTTTGTATGAAGAAGCCACTGTGTCTTTAGAAAAATTTTAAGAGTAAGTGGGAAACTCATATAAACAAATATAAAAAAGTATAACTATTAGAGTATTAGAATGCTTTTTTCATTAATTTTTCTGATACCAAGTTTTTTCCCTTGGATGAAATAGTTCTGTGAAATAGTTATTAATATTAAGCCTGATTTCGTAAATACTAAAAGCCTTTTTTCTAAAAACTAAATACTAGGTCAAGACAATCAAGACACTTCCTCTCTTTTATGGAAGCATAGTAAAATTTTTTCTTTATGGTGATCATGATGGAGAAGTATATGCCACAGGAGGAGAGGTGCAGATTGCAATGGTAAGATAGCAAGTAATAAAAATTTTTTATTGAAAATCTCTTAGTACTGCTTACTTTTGTTTAATGCTGAAATAAAGATATAGTATTTTATATTTTGCTAGCATTTGGGTTTTCTATTGAATAAAGTATTGTTAGCGTACATTTTTATGTTTTTATGTTTCTTATTTGGTGATTTAAAGCTGTAGAGTTTAACATCTTATATATCCAATGTTTAACAAACATATACTTTATTTCTGGTTGTCAAAAGTAATTTTGTAAAGTGTTCATTTCATCCACATTGGAATAAAAATTGAAGTCCGAATTCTTTCTCAATAATAAATAACTCCAAAACTAAAGTGGGCTTTATCCTTCCCTGCTCTTTTTAATATTTGAATATTTAATTATGCCTAAGGAGGTTACATGAAAAATAGAAATAAACACTATAGTATAATGTAATAATAGTTATAATGATTTATATCCTTAATTAGAGTAAAATATGTTTCTTTAGGAGAATTTTCATTGTAGCCAAATTTGAAGAGAGTTTTTTAAATGTTAATAAAAATTTTTTTATTCAGGAACCTCAGGCGCTATATGATGAAATAAAAACTGTGCCAATTGCAAAGCTCGATAGGACAGTTGCTGAGAAAGCTGTCAAAAAATATGTAGAAGATGAAATGGCAAGGTAATTCACATTTCAAAGTAGAGAAGAATAAACTAAAAAAATGAATTGTAGTACATTCTTGAGTATGTTATGGACACATAATAGGACAGTTGTAGTCTTGGATTTTATATACTGTAGTGCACATCTTGCTGTTTAAAAATTGAGAGCTCTGGATGTAAAAACAGAATCCTTTGTTTTATATAAAAATTTCTCCCTTTTCTATATCTAAAGTGTCACTGTTACAGGCACTATGAATCCAGTATGTTAGAAAATAACTTGGTTTGACCTACAACTAGAAGAAAATTGTAGTAACTGTTGAGAAGTAAAGATTAGTGTAAGAGAAGTAAAAGAAAGTAGAAAAACAAAACTGTTTGTAGCTCTTTTGTAGCTAACAATGCAGTGATTTTGATTCTCTGAATATCTATTCTTAAAAGTTTATTTCCCAAAGTTAACTTGTATTATACAAGAGCAGGAAAACCACCAAAAATGGGCAATTCCCGACAAATCCTAGCTCTTAATACCAAGAGATTTTTGTATTACTGTTTCAGTAACCACAGTAATGGTTAAGGAAGAAAAAATTTTTAGATTATTGATCATATGGAATTTTAGCTTTAACCTTTCAAAATATATCCGAAATATTAAAGTTTCTAGTGACTTATGTTTATCTAATTAGATTATAATTAATGTAATTCATGAAACATTAATATGCTCATTTTAATAGACTCCCTGATAGATTGTCAGTAACTTGGCCTGAAGGAGATGAATTATTGCCAAATGAGATTAGGCCAGCTGGAACCCCCATTGGTATGTTGTTGTTGTTGTTTTTTCCATATTACTGAAAAAATGCTGTTTGTGTGCTTTACATTTTGAATATGTAAAAGACTGTAACAATTTAAAATGCAATGTTCAGACCTAGAAGACTCATCATTTTTGGGGGGGTGTAACTAAGATATTCTTATTTTAAATTTTGAACCAATAGGTGCATTAAGAATTGAAATACTGAATAAAAAGGGGGAAGCAATGCAAAAGCTTCCAGGAACAAGTCATGGAGGATCAAAGAAACTCCTGGTTGAGCTCAAAGTTATATTACATTGTAAGTATGCAAACTAATTTGGATCTTTAATATTAATGTTCTTAAATGTGTAATGCAGGTTTTTCATCTTTTTATAATTATCGATGATCTAGCAATCTTATAGACACAGATGATTTGATTAAAGTTCAGAATTTCAAATGTGTTATGACTTATTTTTTTAATTGATATTTTTCTGAGGGTTTTTTTTTTTTTTAACTCTTTATTTTGAATTTTCCCAAGTAGGTAGCTGTGGACCTAAGATACGGTGCATATATGTATAGGGATTTGAATTAGATAGGAATTCATATTAGATAATCTATAAAATCTATTGTAAATCAAAAAATAATGTGTCTGAACCTTGAGCTAGATAGAGATACTTGGTTTAGATTATAGGCCTGGTGGAGGAGAACTGGGTATTATTGCTCATCTTGTATTTCCCTAATTTGAATCATCTTGTTTGTTTCTTGTCCATTGTTTTTGTCTTGACTGCCTAAAAGTATTTTACCTCTTATGTTTAATGATTTGTTCTATCATTATATACTTGGTGTCTCATCCATGGATTTTAAAGACACAAATATTCAAAACATGTTTTTCTGACATTTAAAAACTAGTTAATGATCATCTATACTTGAATCTTGTATAAATGTCTTGTTACGTGTCTCAGCATTAAACAGTTTAACTTATTTCACTGAAATACTCCTCTATTTTTGGCCTCTGTGACACCCTGCCCCATACTTCCCCAACTTTATGTGTGTGTAGGTTAAAACAACAAAAATTTATTAGTTTTCTATAGATCATACATCCTAGATGAGTTTCACTGACTAAAATCAAAGTGTCAGCAGGATTGAACGTCGTGCCTGAGTGGCTCAGTCCATTGGTAGTTACCTTTGGCTCATGGTTCTGGGATTGAGCCCTGCGTTGGTTCCCTGCTCAGTGGGGAGCCTGCTTCTCCCTCTCTCTGCTGCTCTCTCTGCTTGTGCTCTTTCACTCTCTTTGTCAAGTAAATAAAATCTTAAAAAAAAAAAGTGTCAGCAGTATTGCATTCCTTCTGGAGACTTTAGGGCAGCCTTGGCTTTTCCACCTTCTAGAATCTATATTCTTTGGCTTGTGGCTCCTTCCTCCATCTTCCAAGTCAATAATACAGCATTCTCTAGTCTCTCTGTGACTGACTCTCCTGCCTCCCCCACCCCATATATTTTTTCCAATCAAAAATATTTTTATTATGTTAAAAATGTATAATGTATATTTATCATTTTAACATTTTTAGGTTTTACAGTTCATTGACATTAAATACATTTATATTGTTGTGCAGCCATTACCACTGTCCATCTCCAGAACTTTTTTTATCATCCCAAACTAAAACTCAGTAGTAATAACTCCCCATCACTTCATCTCCACATCTCCTGGTAATCATTGTTCTACTTTCTGTGTCCGTGAATACAACTATTTTAGGTATCGCAATAAATGGAATCAAATAAGTGAAATCATATTCTTTTGTGTGTATGTACCATATTTTGTTTATTTATCCATTGATGGATACTTGGGTTACTTTCATGTATCCGGTATTATGAATAATGCTGCTGTGAACATTGGTATGCAAATAACCTGTTTGAATCTCTGATTTCAATTCTTTTGGATGTGGAATTGCTAGATCATATGGTAATTCTAATGTTTAATTTTTGAGGAACTGCCATACTGTTTTTCACAGTGGCTGTACTGTTTTACATCCACACCAGCAATGTACAAGTGTTCCAATATCTCTACATCCTTGCTAACACAAAGGGGGGACAGGGATGGAGAGTTAGGAGGGAAAGAATCCAAAGCAGACTGTGCTGAGCACAGAGCCTGATTCAGGGCTCCATCTCATGATCCTGAGATCACTACCTGAACCGAAACCAAGACATTCAACCAACTGAGCCACCCAAGCACCTCCAATTTTTTTGTTTTAGCATTTGTTGTTTTTGCTTTTGGTATTCTGTCCAGGAAGTCATTGCGAAATCCAATGTCGGGAAGCTTTTCTTGTCTAAGATTAGTTTTATCATTTTAGCTCTTACATTTAATTATTTGATCCATTTTGAGTTTAATTTATATAGATTCACTTCTTTTGCACATGCATATCCAGTTTTCATAGCACCAATAATCAGAAACACTGTTCTTTCTCCATTGAATGGTCTAGGTGTTCTTGTCAAAAATCATATGACCATACATTCAAGGGGTTTTTTGGGGGGGCTCTCTATTCCATTGGTCTATAATGTCTTTTCTTATGCCAGTGCCACTGTTTAGATTACTATTGTTATGTAGTAAACTTTGAAAGGTAATGTGAGTTTCCTAACTTTTTTCTTATTCAGAATTGTTTTGGCTGCCTGGATTCCCTTAAGATTCCATATACATTTAGCAGGGTTTCCTATTTCTGTAAAAAAATGGTATTGGGGTTTTGATAAGTATTACATTGTGTCTGTAAACCAATTGGTTGTTATTGTCATCTTAATCCATGAACGTGACTTTGTATCATCCAAGTGTGCTGAATTTATTTATTCACTACTAATAAAAAAAAAATAGTCACTTGAGAGGCTCCTGAATGATACAGTTGGTTAAGTGTCTAACTGTTGGTTTCGGCTCAGGTCATGTTCTCAGGGTTATGGGATTGAGCCCTGAATTGGGCTCCACATTCAGCATGGAGTCTGCTTCGATCATCTCTCTACCTCTCTCTCTAAAATAAATAAATGAATCTTTAAAAAAACATAAAGTCATTTGAAATAATATCCCTTTTTAATGTGTCATGTCACCTACTTGATGTATATTTTTTGTTTATGAATTGCTATTTTTAATTCTATTTTTTCATTTTTTAAGTCATTTACATAATTTCAAAGTCAGAAATAAACCTTCAGAGAAGTTATGTCATCCCTCTACTCTGTTTTCTTCCTCCCTATTTAGTTAGTAGTTTATTAGTTTTTGGCTATCTTTCCTGTTTCCTGCTATAATGTTGAACAAGAACAATTAATATTGTCTCTTTATCTTCCTTACAGAAGAGGTATTATTTTATGTTTGTTTTTACTAATAATAATACGTTGCTAGATCTTAGCAATTCTATATAAATAAACTGGTATTTTAGTCTGGAAAACTCTTAAGGAAAATTTTTAAGATTTTATTTATTCATGGGAGACACACAGAGTGAGAGACAGAAGCAGAAACACAGGCAGCGGGAGAAGCAGGCTCCACGCAGGGGTCCTGATGTGGGACTGGATCCCGGGACTCCAGGATCATGCCCTGGGCCGAAGGCAGGCGCTAAACCACTGATCCACTTAGGGATCCCAAGGAAAATTATTTTTAATATCAAAAGAAAATTATCTCTAATCTAATCTTTTGTAACAGTTAATCTTATTTACGGATACGTTCTTAATTGAGATAAAGGAATTTTAATGAGCTGATGAGTAATTTTCATTATGCCATTCATTTGTATGGGATAGCTTTAGATCCTTTGATGAAGTTTCAAAACAATTTTTTTTTCAAAACAGTTTCTAAAAATGTACGACAAATAAAGTTATTTGATGCCAGTGTGACATTTCATACTCATGTTTTGTATTCAGTTTCTCAAGGTATAAATATTTCTTTTTTCTTTTATTAAGCTTCCAATGGAAATAAAGAAATCATTTCACATATTAGTCAACATGGAGGAAAATGGCCTTACTGGTTTAAAAAAATGGGTGAGTTATTATTCTGAATGTTAAAAATTCTATCAGTAATTGTGTTCACTTGATTTTTAATTTCTTCTTAATTTGTACAGAAAATATTCAAAAGTTGGGGAATTATACATTGAAATTACAAGTTGTATTGAATGAAAGTAATGCAGACACTTATGCAGGAAGACCACTACCTTCGAAAGCAATTAAATTTTCTGTTAAAGGTAAGTGAAACACTATATGCCTACATATTATACTGAAAGTGTCATTTTCAATAAAGGGATAATAGATAATAAAAGATGTTTGGCCAGTTGTGGGATCATCATAATCTTAAAATAGCCCTATGATTCTGCTCCATAATCGAATTTCTTCTTTAAGTTTTTATTTAAATTCCACTTTTTTTTAAAGATTTATTTATTTATTCATTCAGAGAGAGCGAAGAGAGAGGCAGAGACACAGGCAGAGGGAGAAGCAGGCTCCATGCGAAGCCCGATTTGGGACTCGATCCTGGGTCTCCAGGATCACACCCCGGGCTGCAGGTGGCGCTGAACCGCTGCGCCACCGGGGCTGCCCTTAAATTCCAGTTTTAATCGGTGTAATACTAGTTTGAAGTGTACAATACAGTGCTTCAGCACTTCCATACACCACCCAGTCCCCATCACAAGTTCACTCTTTAATCCCCATTTAATCCTATCCACTTGCCTATATCCCTTTACCCATATTCCCTCAGGTAACCATCAATTTGTTCTCTAAGAGTCTGTTTCTTGGTTTGCCTTTCCTTCTCTCTTTTTTTTCCCCTTTGCTTGTTTCTTTTATTCCGTATGAGTGAAATCATATGGTATTTGTCTTTCCCTGTCTTATTTTGCTTAGCATTATAATCTCTAGCTCCATCCATGTCGTTGCAACTTCATGGTCCTATTTTTTTAAGATTTTTTTTTTTTTTATTTATTCATAGAGACACACACACGCAGAGAGAGAGAGAGAGAGGCAGAGTCACAGGCAGAGGGAGAAGCAGGCCCCATGCAGGGAGCCCGACATGGGACTCAATCCTGGGTCCCTGGGATCACGCCCCAGGTTGACCACTGAGCCACCCGGGCTACCCTGTTTAAAATTTTTGAAGGCATCATTGTTTTCTTCTGTTGTTGCTTGTAGCACCTAAAGCTTTTCTGATTCCTGACCTTTGCATGTGAGCTTCTCTGCCCACCTCAGTCTCCCCTCTTCCCTGTTGCCCAGCTGTTTAAGAATCTTTTTTTTGTTGTTCTGGTTTCTGAAATTTTAAATTCTCTAAATTTTTCTTGAATTACTTGATTTCCTACTCTATTTTCTACATCATCTAATATTAAAAGACAGTGGACATTTTGACTGGTATACTAATATTCTTTTTTCTACTTTCCATCTCATTTTCCCGTGTTATGGGAGCTTCCTTTAACATGACATGCTACTATACTTTCTATTGAATTTTTCCTTTCTGCTGTCATTTTTTTATTCTGGTTATTCCTTTTTCAAAGCATTCTCTGCTTCATAAATTCAGTATCTTTAATAATTCTCTGAGGGTATTAGTAATAGTGGTGGTCTTTAGAAGCATTTGAACTTTATTTATAGTCTGTTTCCTCTGTGTTAATTTTTTTTTTTTAATGTTTGCCCTTTCATAAGTAAATGCTCTCTTACATGACTGGTGATTTGCCTACATTTAATCATAGGACATTTGAAAGCTTTTATTTCATTTGGGGTGATTATGAGAATTTTTAGGTTTTCTCTCTTTAAGCCGTCCAAAGCCCCAAATAGAGCCTTTTAGTCTCCTGTGAGGAGGGTAAACACCTGGCTGCCAGCATTTTGGGAGCAAACTGGAGAAGACTGTTGGGGGTCTCACGTCTACTATAGAATCTTTCACTTGATATTTTCAGCAGAATGTGACGCTTTTAGTAGTGTTTTTGTCCCTCACTTCTTGGCACTATTTTACCTTCCTCAGAGAATAAGCCTTCTATCTGTTGCTGGGGCTGAGGAAGGCAATTTACTGGTTTTGTGTATTGAGGGATGGAGACCTGAGGCTGGCTTTCTTTTCTTTTCTCTTTTCTTTTCTTTTCTTTTCTTTTCTTTTCTTTTCTTTTCTTTTCTTTCTTTTCTTTTCTTTTTTTCTTTTCTTTTCTTCTTTCTTTTCTTTTCTTTTCTTCTTTCTTTTCTTTTCTTTTTCTTTCTTTCCTTTCCTTTCCTTTCCTTTCCTTTCCTTTCCTTTCCTTTTCTTTTTCTTTTCTTCTTTTCTTTCTTATTTTTTTTTAAAGATTTATTTTAGAGCAAGTGAGCATGGATTGGGAGGGGAAGGAAGAGAGAGAGACTCTTAAGCAGACTGTGCACTGAGAATGGAGCCCAACCTGGGGCTGTTTCGCACCCCTGAGATCACAACCTGAGTTGAGATCAAGATTCAGATGCTTAATCGACTAATCTACTCAGGCGCCCCTATCACATTCTTTTAGTAGCTGCAGAATGCATTCCGTAGTATGGATATGCTATAGTTGAAGCAGTTTTCTGTTGATGAACATTTCAGTCGTTCTCAGTTTGTTTGTTTTTTTGTCTAACCATGGGTTTCTATATGAAAAAAAAATTAATGCTGCTTTGTGTACATGTGCTAGAAGTTCTCTAGGGTGGATAAAAAGTAGAATTGCTGAGCTGACATGTATATGCCTTAATGTTTTAAATATATTTACCATCAAATTGGCTCTGGTAAAAGGTTGTGTCAGGGTACCCTCACCAACAGACCATGAGAGTTCCAAAGTTCCTTATGCTCATTCCTGCCTGGTGTCTGTATTTATCCTAGTTAATGGTTAAATTATTTAATTATTAGGTTGTGCACCTCTTCTCACCTATTTTTGGCTCTCTCTGTTATCTGTGAAAGCTTATTCATTTGCTCTGCTGATTTTAATTGTGTAAAGCTGTGATTCTCACATTTGACCTTCTGTCTTAATCACCTACAAAGCTTTTTAAAACACTGGACTGTGGGGCATCACTCCCAGAGTTTCTGACTCAGTAGTTTTGAGTGAGCCCTAGAATACACATTTCTAATAATTTCTCAGGGGATGACTGAAACTGTTTGACTAGAGACCACCTGTAAGAATAGCTGATTTATAGAAGGCTTTTATGTATTCTGGATTTTAATCCCTTGTTGTAGATGTTGTACATATTTTCTCCTATAAAGCATCTCTTTTAACTTTGTGTATTATAAGATATTTTAAACTTTATCACATAACATTCTTTCATAGCTATTGAATACAGTAGTCCCCCTTGTATACAGGGGATATGTTACATGACCACCTCCAGTGGATCTCTTAAAATTACAAATAATACCAAATTGTATATATACTGTTTTTTTTCTGTATATGTATACCTATAATAAAGTTTAATTTGTAAATTAGGGACAGTAAGAGATTAACAATAATAAAATAGAATAATTATAACAATATACTGTAATAGAAATTATGTGAATGTGGTCTTTTTCTTTCTTAAAATATCTTATTGTGCTACTATACTCAGTCTTCTTGTGATTATGTGAGATGATAAAATGCCTGTGTGCTGAGATGAACTGAGGTCAGTGACCTAGGAATTGTAACATAGTTTTAGGCTACTGTTGACCTTCTGATAATATGTCATTAGTAGGATCTGCCTCCAGACTATAGTTAACCACGGATAAGTGGGGGAAGGGATATTGTGTTTTGCCTTAGTTTTTCCTATGATAATGTTATAAATTTCTTTATTATATTCTGATAATCTCATAGTTTAAGAACACATTTTTTTTCTAGAATTTTATGTATAGTGAGATAAAGATCTAACTTTTCCCAGTTGGCTTATAGATACAATTTATATAAGTTCTTCACAGATTTAAAATGCCATCTTTATCATAGTTTAGTTTCCTGTGTATAAAATATGGCTATTTCTGACCTACAATGAATTTTCTTCTCATGTTTACTTTTTTTTTTTTTTTCTTTTCTTTTTTTAAGAGGGTAAACCAGAAAAGTTTTCATTTGGTCTTATGGATCCTCCTTTTCGTGTTGGAGTCCCATTCAATATCCCTCTGGAGTTTCAGGATGAATTTGGTCATACTAGTCAATTAGGAAATGATATTCAGCCAGTATTTGAAGCAAGGTAATTCGAAGGATCAATCTAAATGTGACTTTTCGTATTTACTAAGCATTCATTCTTCTTTCTTTCAGCTTAAATTACTTATGTGTTTAACTTTTATCATTTATCACATTTATCATTTAAAGTGTTTAGTGTATTTTATGATATCTGGGGGATTTATTTTGCCCCGAGCTATGCTTTGTGACATGTATAAAGTGTCATATATAAAGTGCTTCATTAAAGTTTGTTTTGACTGAATTTACTGTGAAAGTTGTTTAGGTGAGACTGATAAAACTCTTTCTCCATTGTTTTCTTTGCAAGTAAGATGTGAAGTTATGGCTCCTTAAACTTAGTGAACCTGGTAATACAATTCATTTTTAAAACCATAGCAACAAAGTTTATGGTTTCCATGGATATTTGGTTCTTTCTGTAGAATTTATCTTTATTTAATAGTTCTTTAAAGTATTGTGATTGGCTTATATTAAGAAATAACTCTGAGAAACTTCATAGTGTGTCCAATGATATAACTAAGGGTATTCATTATTTTCAGTTATCTTTTTAAGGTGCCTTGGGAGAAATTCTTGTTCATTCTCAAGAGCATGAATGCTAAGTGTTTCTTTTTTGCATTAGCTGCCAAATTCATCTTTTGAGCCCACTTTTTATATATGCTTTCTTCTGTTGTCTCTATGTACTTTTTTCCCCTTGTGTTGTATTCGTTCACTCTTAGACATCTGAGCATGTGCAATATTCCAGGCATTTGCTAGCTAGACATATAGAGGTGAATAAGGACATAGTACTTGCCTTCTAGAAGCTCACAGATTAGTGATATAGTTTAGTAGTTAGATTTGTAGCATGTTTAAGTTCTTGAAAAACAATAGATAGTTATAAAAAATATTCAAAATGAGTTTTTAGTTCTGTGTCCCCTTAAGTTGCAAAAAGTGATTCTTACTTTTGACCTGTTGCATTCATTTGAATATTGTAAACAATAATGAAAGAGCTGAACACTTAAATTATTTGTTTAAAACACTAGAAGTATCCCTTCTAGTCACAAATGGAAAATATTAGTGCATTATATGACATCTATTATTATTATTCTTTTTTATGATAGTCACAGAGAGAGAGAGAGAGGGGCAGAGCCACAGGCAGAGGGAGAAGCAGGCTCCATGCACTGGGAGCCCGATGCAGGATTCGATCCCGGGTCTCCAGGATCACGCCCTGGGCCAAAGGCAGGCGCCAAACCGCTGCGCCACCCAGGGATCCCTATGACATCTATTATTGATTATAACTCCATCATCCTATCCTTGATAGGATATTCTTAAATAGGAAATCTCTGTCACTCATACATATTTATATTTGGGGTTTTAAACTTATTTTATAAAATCCTGATGGCATAGCCATGTGAATTTATCTTCAATAAAGACCATTTTCTGAGTAGGTTTTTTTTTTTTTCTCCCAATGTTAGGTGAATTTTTTTAAAAATCATTCACGCATATAAATGAACTATTAAAGAATTAATAGTTTGATAAGGCTTATTTTAAAAAAGCAATTTCTCATCCTTCTGCCCTCTCTATCTCACTCACAATCCACTTCTCAGAGAACCACCTTTGACTTTTTTGACTTGAATCTACTTGTAATTACTGCCATATATGTAAATTTTATATTGCTATTTCTTCCTTTTTCAGTTTTAGGCATTATCTCTTGATTAATGGCTATAGACAATAACATATTCTCTTATTGCCACTTCTCTTACTTATAAGCTTCCTTCTTGTTCCTCTGGTCCTCAATAAAGGTTATACTGTGGCTTGGTCAATATGTAGTGCTTGCTTTATTGCAATGATGTATATACTAATCACTTTGTTGTACATACAACTTTGTTGCTACTGTACTTTTTTTCTTTGCTGAGTTTATGACAAATCAAACTGTAAACTCTCTGCCAAATTATCTCTTCTCAAAATGAGTACATAGATAATCTAGCAGTTTCATATTTGTGGAGATCTCTTTTTTGGAGTTTGTGATGTGCTACATTCTGTAATGATTGGGTTTTTTTTGTTTGTTTGCTTATTGTAGTTCACATTCTGTGATCTTCCTTCACCTTTATCCTGGGGATTCACTATGTCTTCTGTGTTGGGGAAATCAAAACAAAACCTACCGTCAACTTAGAAAACTTCATCATAAAGTTAGAAAGAAAACAATTTTCCTGTTGACTAAACATTAAACCAGAATGTGATGATTATCACAAGCAATCTGATACAGAGACTGCAAAGACTGAAATATATGGATAAGTTGCTGGAACTCATTACATTCATGTTTTAAAGATAAAATAACTAAGTACCTTTATCACTGCTTGTGGGATTTGCAATCTGGAGTCAGCTGACTAGAAGTTAGGCTCAGGAAACTAGGAGATAGGGCTTTACCTTTTTTGATGATTACACTGCAGAGAGTTGGTTCTCAGGTCCCTAGGGAAATATTCCTGAATTCTGAGTCTGTTACATGACTTATTTTATTTAGCATTTAACTTTTCATGGCTCTCCAGTTTTTTAAAAGAATGCCATGTCCTGGGCAGCCCTGGTGGCGCAGCGGTTTGGCGCCGCCTGCAGCCTGGGGTGTGATCCTGGAGACCCGGGATCGAGTCCCGCGTTGGGCTCCCTGCATGGAGCCTGCTTCTCCCTCTGTGTCTCTGCCCTCCCCCCCCCTCTCTCTCTCTGTGTGTGTCTGTGAGTAAATAAATAAAATCTTTAAAAAAAAAAAAAAAAGAATGCCATGTCCTCCTTTTGCTGAAACACATCCAGTACATTTGCAAGAGAGTGCCCCTATTCTATTTGATTAAACTGAAAATTGGATGCTATTTTCCTCAAAATCATGAAAGCATTATTCCATTTTTGCTTTCCTCAAAATTATGAATCATTGCTCCATTTTAGTTTTTTAGCTTCCACTGTTGCTGATAAATTTAAATTCACTTTCATTAATTTTCATTTTTGTGTTTTCCATGTATTATCTCTGGAAGCTTTATAGGATCTGCTTTTAATTTGCAACACGGCAAAATTTTATAGTAATCTTTGCAAAGATTCTACATCATTTGAAGTATTTTATTCTCTATTTTTTTAAGTTTTTATTTATTTTATTTTATTATTATTTTTTTATTCATAAGAGACACACACAGAGAGAGAGGCAGAGAGAGAAGTAGGCTCCATGCAGGGAGCCTGACGTGGGACTCAGTCCTGGGTCTCCAGGATCACACCCTGGGCTGAAGGTGGTGCTAAATCGCTGAGCCACTTGGGTTGCCCTATTCTCTACTTTCCATCATCACGGTTTTCTCTTTCTGGAATCATTTTTTGGTATTGAATCTTCTGGAATGTTTCTCTGATTTCCCTAATTTTTCTGTTTTTCTTTTTGTGGTTCTGCTTTCCTTTCTGACAATTTTTTTTTCAGCTTAATCTTTATAACCTCCCCATTGAGGTTTTCCTTGTTGCTCTGTTTTAATTTCTAAAAATTTTTCTTTGTTTTCCGAACTTTTTTTTGTAGATCATCTTGTTTTATGAATGTAGTATATTTTTTCACTGATGAGTGGTAGTTGTTTTTTTTATTTTTTTTTTTGGCTTTTTAAAACATTACATGTATGGAAAATTTTTGTTTCTCCAAGCTGGTTGCTCTTTGTTTGTTCTTTTTTTTTTTTTTTCTTCTAATTTCTTCAGAAACCTGGTAATTTTTTATCATCTGCTTATAAATGAATGGCTAAAAAGCAGATAAGGAAACTGAAAATGTGGGAGAAGCTGTTGAATATGAACTGCACTGTACGATGATATGTCTGTAATGCTTTACTGGGGGAGTCTTCTTTGTTGGGGTAGGCAGTTTTCTCAAATATTTATTTGAAAATAATTTTATTCTCTTGCCTGGAGGGAAATAGTTTGTCCAGGTTCCTAGTCAAGAAAAGGGATTGGGAAGGTCTCAGCATCCATATACATTCATTCAAGATTACCCCTTCTGTTCTGTTTAGTATTTACCTTATCATTCAATTTATCTGCTACTCCCTGGTTTAGAGATTTCTCTTCTTTAGCCTTTTCAGAGATTAATCTTCCAGTCATCTTCCAGAGGCTGAGAGGGAAGATCTGGGGATCAATCTTTCTTTTCCCCTTTTTGTTTGCTCCTACTTCTAGAGGCATGTAGTACCACCAGTTCCAGAGTGGTACATAGGAATTCTGGACCATTACGTTGATTTCCAGCTTTTTCCATTGCTTGTTTTAGGGTTTAGTTTTCTTGGGAGACTAAGTCCTGTTTTCTAGAAAATGAGATTTATTGTTTTGTTTTTTTTTTTAAAGATTTTATTTATTTATTCATGAGAAACACAGAGAGAGAGAGGCAGAGACACAGGCAGAGTGAGAAACAGGCCCCATGCAGGGAGCCCGACGTGGGACTCAATCCCGGGTCTCCAGGATCACACCCTGGGCTGAAGGCAGGCGCCAAACTGCTGAGCCACCAGGGATCCCCGAGATTTATTGTTCTTGTCTCTTTTTTCTTTCCTTCCTTTTCTTAGCCTTTAATAGTAAATAAAAGAAATCCCCTTGTTTTCAAATTAGAGATGTAAGAGATAGTGAAAGTAGATGTGTGTGCGTTTAGTGTCCATTTTCCCTAGGGAGTCTTATTTTCTCTTACACATCACTTTATAGCTTTTTTCAAACAAGGCATACCATTTAATTTTATGATTTAATATTTAAATGCCATTCTTTAGAAAAGTTAGGCTTTTTCTCCCCCATGGTGTCTTTTATTCCCTCACCTTATCCCCGTTAACAAGAGTAAAATGTTTACACTCTAATGACCTACATGTGGTCAAAGGCAATTTAGGAAAGAAATTGCTCATAGTAATAGATTAGGGAATCTCAGTATATATTCTAGCAAGGGTATATCATAAGACTGTACTTGATTATTTGAATTTTATCTAAAATTGCTATTCAGTTTAATAAGTACCAAAAACTTTCTAATATCTTACGGGATGAAAGATTTGAAAAAAATACATGGTGAAGCCTGAAGATATCCCTAAAGCTGGCCTATTTGTTTATTTCCTTTCCTTAGACCTGTATACATGGTCTAGCATTTGATTATTTTCTGCCTTGTATCTTATTTAATAAATGAACTTTACATTTTAGAATTTTTCTTTTACAGTATTTGGCCCAGTGCTATCACTTACAGATGATTTTTGTTTGTAAAATAAGTTCTTGGGAATTTTCTCTTGTTGAATTATTTATTCAATTTTTAAGAATATTAGATTATTTAAAAATTTTATTAGAAAAGTGAATTAAATACAAGAATGGCATATGAAAATACAACTTATTTATAGGTAATGGAGGGGAAGTTAAAAAATAATTTGTTTTTTCCAGTGGTTTATCTTTACATTATGAAGAAATAACCAAAGGACCGAATTGTGTGATTCGAGGTGTTACAGCTAAGGGCCTTGTAAACTCTTGTCAAGGCAAGGTAAGCATTGTACATAAATGTTTTAATACATACTATTTCTTGTAAAAATAAAATGGAGAATTTAAAATTGGATGACGTGTTTTTGTAACAGGATAACAATGATGGGGTTCCTAAGAATTAATCAGGATCATGTCACTAAACTTACCATTCACATCGCTAAAGGAAACTAACATGTTCACTTACATTTATGAATTAAATATTTGCTAACTGTCTTCATCTTCATTCCAGTCTTTTCACATTCAGAGTCAATTTTATTAACAGTTACCCAGTACTGTTCTTTTTTCTCTCCAACTTTTAAAATTTTTTTAGTATTATTTTTAGAACACAAAAATATGAGAAACTTTAGTTCACATTTATGAACATACTGGGTTTGATATTTGGATAAAGGAATGTGTTTTTGGGAGAGATAAAGTTAGGGAAGGTAAAAATATAAATTCCAATAAGGTAATTTATCAGTCAGGTATATAAATTACCTAATAGATTTACATGACTAAAGGGAATACTGTGGCTAATAATGAGTAATATATATCTTTTCTTCACTGTACCATTAACCTACAACATATATTCAGAATTTTTCTATCAAAATGGTGTTTAAAATAGAGCATACGAATTTCTTTAAATGCCATATACTACACTGCATTGTATAATGAAATCAAATTAAAGATCAATTTCTATACATCTTTCTGAATTCAGAATTTCCTGGAAAAAGAATTGAAATTCAGGGAAATTTGACTTTACTAAGATAAGCTTACTAAAAAACTAAAATAGTTTCTGGATTTTTAAAAACTTTTTTGAAATAACTTTATATTTACAGAAGAGTTGGAAAATAGTATAACGAGTTTGCATATACTCTGTACCAGTTTCCTCCATTAATATCTTATATAACTATCAAGTTTTATCCAAACTAAGAAATTAACATTGGTATAATACTATTAACAAAACTATAGTATAATGCTATTAACAAAGCTATGGACTTTATTCACATTTCGCCAGCGTTTTTACTAATTAGTTTTCTATTCCAGGATCTAATCTAGAAAACCACATTGAATTTAGAGATTTCTAGATTTTTGTTATTTTATACTTCATTCACTATTTTCCATATTTTTTATGATGCCCATCTTGATTCTGATTATTCAGAGGTTATTCCTTTTGAATTTGAAGAGACTATTATCTGTAAAGAAGCAATATGAGTCCACTTTTTCATCTCTTAGAGACATAAATGATCATGTTTCTCAATGTAAATTTGCTGCATAGATTTCTGTAATGTTATGGAAATGAAAAAAATAAATCAGAATTTTGGCACTTATTAAACTAAATAGCAATTTTAGATAAAGTTCAAATAATCAAGTACAGTCTTATGATATACTCTTATTAGAATATATACTGAGAGTCCCTGATCTATTACTATGAGCAATTCTTTCCTAAATTGCCTTTGACCACATGTAGGTCATTATAGTGTAAACATTTCACTCTTGTTAAGGGGGATAAGGTGAGGGAATAAAAGAGACACCAACAACATCAGTTGTTAAACTACTGAGCTATTTAGCAGTTGGATTTAATTAAAATAATTTTTTTCAACAGAATTTTAATTTGAAGGTTATTCTGCCGGGTTTAAAAGAAGACACACAGATTTTAAAAATTAGATTACTACCAGGTAATATTTTAATAAATATTTCTAATATTTACCTTTAAATAGTATTTTTATTATAAAATATATTAAGATGAAGTGTTTTTGGTTATGGTATAAGTCTTGAAAATACATTTGAATGTCAAATATAGCACAGACAAAAATGAGTAATTGAAAAAATAGGAAAATATTTAGGAAGACAGGAAGTTCTAAAAATAATTGGGAGAAAAGTGTGAATGTTGATAATATTAAGGAACTACTCTTAAGAGATATACTAATTAGGCTTATTTTAGAACTGACCTTTTTTATCTTTTCTGATATGACTGTAAATGTTTCTTTCATATCTTTAGAAAAGTTTCTCATGCATTTATGTTGTTAATTTGTTAGTTACTTAACAACCTGATAGTAAAGTTACATTAAAGTAATACAGGATAGGAAATGCTGGCTAATTTGAGAGGCAGTCTTCCAGATAGGTTCAAAGAGTACATTCTGATAACTCTTCTGAGTTTGAATCTAAGCTGTGACACTTATGAGCTAGGTAAACTTGTCCTGTGCCTCAGTTTCCTCATGTAAAATGAAATATCTACTCTCTCATGGTTGTTGTGAGGATTGAATGAGCTAATAATATAAGCAACACTCACTTTGCAAGATTTTGTGATAACTGAATGGTAGACAGCACAGTTCAGTATGCATGAGTTCTCATTAACACACTCCTGTGCAAAGTGAGAACTGCGTGTCTTGTAAAACATAATAGCGCTTGGTGTGTCAGTTTTAGCTCTAATAATGCTATAATCATATCTCTGTCCATATATGACCTTTTGTACTGTTTTTTTTTTTAAGATTTTATTTATTTATTCATGGAGACACACAGAGAGACAGGCAGAGACACAGGCAGAGGGAGAAGCAGAAGCAGGCTCCATGCAGAAACCCGGACATGGGACTCGATTCCGAGTCTCCAGGATCATGCTCTGGGCTGAAGGTGGCGCTAAACCACTAAGCCACTGGGGCTGCCCCCTTTTGTACTGTTTTTAAATGAAAAGAAACATATTAGCTGTGTCCTTTCACAAGTTTAAGTGCTTTGGTTTCCCTCAAGCACAAATTGATAAGGATGTCAAAATTAGCACACTGGTAGAAGTATAAAAATGTTGAGGCACCTGACTGGCTCAGTCAGAAGAGCATGTGATTCTTGATCTCCACATCATAAGTTTGAGTTTGAGCCCCATGATGAGTGTAGATTACTTACATATATACATAAATATACAAACAGAAGCAAACTTTTAAAAAAAATTGTTACATACTAAACACAATGCTTTTATTTTAGAGATTAGTTAAAAGGCATAGTTTTGGGTAGTGAAATTCTTAGTAACTAGATAGTTTGACATTGTTTTGAATTTGAGAATGAAAACTGTGAAGTAGGGGGTAGCATGGCATAATGATAATGGTCAAGAGGTTTCAAATAACTTAGGACATTAACCTGAGCCTGCCGTTTACTAGTTGTGTGACCTAGACGAGATACTTAATCTCTCTGGATTCCAGTTTCCTCATTTATAAAATGTGGATAATAATAATATGACCTTCTTCATTAAGCTCATTGTGAAGATTATGAAGATAGTGCTTAAAACTTAACATGTTGTCTGGCATATAGTAAAAAGTAAATAATAACTAATGTTACCATAAAGTGTTTTTAGTAACTGTCCTTTGTGAATTTTTGTTACCAGCATTTAGCATAAATTGTATTTTTTTATTTTAATTTTTAATTTTTAAAAAATTTTTAAAAGATTTTATTCACGAGAGACACACATTGGGGCGGGGAGGTGGAGAGGGAGAGACACAGGCAGAGGGAGAAGCAGGCTCCATACAGGGAGACTGATGTGGGACTCTATCCTGGGTCTCTAGGATCATTCCCCGGGCTGAAGGCAGACGCTAAACCACTGAGCCACCCAGGGATTCCCTAAAATTGTGTTTTAAAAATGTGAGCACATGAAGTCATCTTGCTACAGAAGTATAAGCTCTCTTTGATTATTTTTAGAGGAAATATGTGTAGTTTGCTTACAGCATCAAAGTAGAGGACAAATTATCTGGCTATATCATTACATGAACTGATTCTTTGACACTATTACCTAAAATGTGTGTTTTCTCTTAACATGTTTTTGAGAAATTAGTCATTGTACAAAGTTACGGTGTATAAATAAAAAAGTATTTTTTTAAAAACTTGAATATTTTTTTTCCAGGATCTCTTTAAGGTTTTACACCTTCAGGTGATTTCTAGCATTAGTTACCATTATGTCATAGCTTATTGGGTAAAACTAAGTCTAGACATCAAAAATTTTACACAATCGAGATAGCTATGGTCATTTGTAGAATCTGTGCATTTTGGTGATACAAATGATTAAAGATGCTTATTTAAAAACATTAAGAAACTAAAACTTGAAATGTTAGAAGTTTTTGTTTTTTGGTTTTTTTTTTTTTTTTTTTTCTATTTCAATATTTCAGTCTTAGAAACTTGAACCTGTATTTCATTATATAATTCTCTGGTAGGTCCCCCTCATCGATTGAAAGTGAAACCTGATTCTGAAATTTTAGTTATAGAAAATGGAACAGCTTTCCCATTTCAGGTAGAAGTTTTGGATGAATCAGACAATATAACAACACAACCAAAATTGATTGTTCATTGTAAGGTAAGTTATTTTAAGATAAGAATATGCAGATGTTATTTTGACTAAGATGGTAGTAAATGGACATAACTGTCTCTTAGCTACTTTATAGTGCGACTTATATTATATTTAGATCTTTAATGATTATTCCATGGAGAAATTTGTGGGTATCCCATTGCCTGTACTTTCAGCATCTGTAAGCCAATAAAAGCATCACCCATACCAAATTTCAAAAAGAAATTTATAGACAAAATATTCCTCTCCCTCCTCTCTTGGTTCATTTCCCTCAATTTAGATGAAGTATTTAATTTATGAATAGAATGATAGAAATGTCTTTTAGTGTTAAGGATGGGTAGATAAATGAAGGCAAGTAAAAGCACAGAAAGAAAAGGAAAACCCAAATACATAAAGTAAAAAAAAAAAAAATAGTGGTTGAGGAAGTTGGTGTTTCAGAAGACATAAATTTAGGTAGAATTATTGAAAATTACTCTTCTCATTCAAAAATTGTCTAGAATATTGGTGAATTCTATTCCAGTTTTTCCAGTTTATGGCCAGAAATAGTAGCTGTAGTGAATTATTTGAAAATTTAAATAACAGTTATTGAATAATTTGTTATATTTGATTGGAGTCTTAAATTATTTTGTATGTTCTCAAAAGTTTTTAGGTGCTCCAAACCTTCCAGTGTACGTTGTAGATTGCAGCAGTTCTGGGACCAGTATTTTAACAGGATCTGCGATTCAAGTGCAGAACATTAAAAAAGACCAGACTCTTAAAGCAAAAATTGAAATACCTGTAAGTTGTTACTATTCATTGATATTAATATTGTTTTCATATAAATATTTCAAATAGCTTTTATGTAACATTTGACTTTTAAAAATGAAGTATTTGTGGTTCTTTTAACTAAAGTTAAAAGGCAACATGAAATGGTATAGTAACATTTTGTATTAGTAATATTCTTGATTAAATCTTTTGTAATACCTATTGCGACTAATTACATAGTCCTAAAATTATCATTTTTCTTATATTAAAATGTGGCATTTATATGTCAGTTTTATTTTTTTGTTTCTTATATATTTACACTGTTCCTTAGAAAACCTGCTAAACCACCACTAAAAGATATATAAACACTTAATTTATATGCATAATTTAAAAAATATCTGGTTAGTATTGTCATTTAAAAGAGATTTCTATAGTAATATACTACTAGGATACTTGTTACTGGGTAATAATACATCATAGTGGAAGGTGAAGCCAACCTGGAGGAGGGCAAGCAGTTGTTGTGAGCAGTTGATTTCCTAAGATTGCAAAGTGGGACAACAAATACTTAAGTAAAATATTTAAATGTGATTTCTCCATTATTGATGTGGTAGATGATGAATAACCTAACCTAATCAGTTGATTAACTGATGCTTTCCTACTAAATATACATCACTTAAAATATCTTGAGCCTCAGAAGGGTAAAAGACAGCTTTTGTTGTTATTTTTCATTAGAATGAGATGACTCTTCATTCTGCTTCTGATCAAGCTGGTTATATTGATAACCTTCAAATACCTGTTATGCTTTCTTGTTGTTGTTGTTAAATTCATTTTTTAAAATTCAGTAATGTGGACAACTTGTTTTTGAGCGTGCTGTCTCGCAAAAGATCAGGAAGATTCAGGAAAGAAAGACATAGACTTAGGGAGGAATTGGGTTTGTAAGCAAAGAGTAACAAGCACTAGGAATTGCATAAATCCTATAAAGCAGCAACAGAAGACCAAGAATCTAGATCAGGTAGGACAAAGATCAAAGTATACCTTATAATATGTAGTTAGAAAATGTTATCCAAAGGCAGTGACTTGAGTTTGAATCATGTAAATGCAAAATGTTTGTAAAAGACGATGGGTTATTTTCCTGATGTTCAGGAATTTTGTTTATGTCTTTATTCATGTAGATGGGCTTAAATAGAAATGACTGCAAATGGATGAGGAAGGAGAAATGAGCTAAATAAGATTGTAAAGATATTTTAGGCTTAGGCTTATTTTGAGTTTTGTGTACCTTGTGGAATGCACTATAACCTAGATAATTTAAAATGTTTTAATTTTTTATGCCTTTAAAATCAATTTGGCATAATCCAGCTCATTCTTACTGATAATGTGGAGCATTGATGTGCCCATAATAAATTATAAATGTGTCAGCTTAGCCTTTAGTGCATCTAGAATCCTTGCTTAGCTATAAACAGCTGGGCAGCCCAGGTGGCTCAGCGATTTACCGCCTCCTTTAGCCCAGGGCCTGATCCCAGAGACCCGGGATCAAGTCCCACATCAGGCTCCCTCCATGGAGCCTGCTTCTCCCTCTGCCTTTGTCTCTGTCTCTCTCTTTCTCTCTCTCTCTCTCTGTGTCTCTCATGAATAAATAAATAAACAGCCTTATTCATTTACACCAATGTATTTCTTCAGTGTAAATAGTGTATTTTATGGCAACTATTTGTCTCTGATTTTATGGGAAGTTCTTAATTTTTTATATATTTATTCCTGTTTATAGATGCTAGTCACCAAATCTGTCATGTGACTCCAAATAAGAGGAAGAGAATCATTTTAAATCCAAATGTGCTAGTTTTCGGCTTTAAGAATATGGCCACTGTCATTACTTATAACTTGATGGTGTAAAATATGGTTATTAGTAGTATTTTCTTTCTTTCTTTCTTTTTTTTTTTTAAGATTTTATTCATTTATTCATGAAGGGCACAGAGAGGGAGAGGTAGAGACACAGGCAGAGGGAGGAGAAGCAGGCTCCCTGCAGGGATCCCGATGCGGACTCAATCCCAGGACCCTGGGATCACGCCCTGATCCGAAGGCAGATGTTCAACTACTGAGCCATCCAGGCCTCCCTATAGTATCTTCTTAATGACAAAACTTAAATGTTAACAGTGTATAAGGTGATCTTCTGTAGTATTGGAAATCCTTAATTCTAAATTAAAGCCCAGTAATATGTTTTTTAAAAGTGCAGATGTCATTCAATATATTTTTGTGTTTTTCTCTTTTTCTAGAGCTGTAAAGATGTGGCGCCCGTGGAGAAGACTATTAAGTTGCTTCCTAGTAGCCATGTTGCAAGATTACAGATATTCAGTGTAGAAGGACAAAAGGCAATCCAGATCAAACATCAGGATGAGGTTAATTGGATAGCAGGCGATACTATGCATAATCTTATTTTTCAAATGTATGATGAAGGAGAAAGAGAAATTCATATAACATCAACTTTAGCAGATAAAATTAAAGTAAGTATCTCAGATTAGTTATTTGAAGAACTGTCATTTTATGATTATCAGGCTCTGAACAAGAAGTTTTCTAGGGTAGCTTTTAAGAAGCTTTTTTTTTTTTTTATTTTTTATTTATTTATGATAGTCCCACAGAGAGAGAGAGAGAGGCAGAGACACAGGCAGAGGGAGAAGCAGGCTCCATGCACCGGGAGCCCGACGTGGGATTCTATCCCGGGTCTCCAGGATCGTGCCCCGGGCCAAAGGCAGGCGCCAAACCGCTGCGCCACCCAGGGATCCCAGCTTTTAAGAAGCTTATCACAGAAAAATAATACTGTTATTTAAAATTCCAGGCTAAATAATAATCCCTTTCATGCACTAGATTGAAATGTGAATGATTCGTATGTGACAAATTCATACCTAGAAAAATGATTTTGAACTTAACAAAAGCCAAAGATTGGAATTCTCTTTTAGCTGTGTCTTTATCTTCCTGACCGACTATTTCGACAGCCACAGTCAAGATCACCTTACCAATGCACTGTATTTGTGACTGTTCTAAAGGCAGTAAACAAAAGGTCTGTTAGAACCAAATGGTGAAACATTTTTAACTACAGGACCCTAATTTGACTATTTGAAATTGGCGTACCACTCTCTAAAAGCATTATCCTAGAAAAAAAGTTTTGTAGATTTTCAGTAACTTCATATGGTCCTCATCAGTCAGCTGTAATTTAAATTCATCATTTGTACCTTGTTAGGGTGAATCTGTATATTGAAACTTAACATCTCTTAAGAGAACCAAATCAAAATACATACTTATCACCTAAGGTAGACCTTTCTATTACTCCTCTTAAGAATACTTCTCTTGATTGAAAGACTAGTGGGTATTCTGTGCTTATTCCTTTCAAAAGGTACAGTCAGTTCTGTTATAATGAAACACATGCATTTCTTAAAATCACTGTGCCAGATAAAAAGGTACAATAAAAATCACAGGGCTCATGGGGAAAATGGGAATTAGAGCCACAGTACTCAAACTTTATCAGTCACCTATTTAAAAAAAAAAAAAGATAGGAAACTAATAAAATAGTACCAAAAATAGTAACAGTAACACGTATTAAATGATAAAGACATTTGTAAACAGTACAATAACATGTCAGTTTACATTGTGGAAGTGAGTATAGGAAAGGTTGCAGCCTGTGAGTTACTGTGAAGTTGTGGAAACTCCACTAAATGTGGACGTGTGTAGCTCAATATACATAATCACACAAGGTAGCTGGTAAGTTTGAGTTGTATCATATGTGTATTTCCATGGATTGGTTTAGCTGAGTACAGGTTTCCACGTTTGCCTATTTTTACTGGTGATATGCATTAGCAAACATAAAATTTGCTTCATACTCAAACTGTTCCCTAATATTTTAATGTCATTGGAACAAATTTACATTTTTATACCAAGCGGTATAGCAGAACCAACTGTACTTTTTTCCTTGATAGTCATAGAGAAAAAACTCAAATCTTGTGCGAGAAAATAATTTTTTAAAAATTCAGTGTTAAGTCAGAGACAAAACATCTCCCTTTCTCTGGAAAGCCAGCATTTGCAGACCCTTATATAAGGGAGACCCAAGTAACTAAATTTGTGGAGAGTTGCTCTGTGGGACAGAAGGTAGAAATTGTTTCTTTGTACTGTTTTATTTTATAGACATCTTGAGTTTCCAGCTATAGGATCTGATATTTTAAAAGAATTTTGTTCAACATGGGTTTAGCAGACCTTATTTTTAAATCTTACTTGAAATATTCCTTGGCCTAGCCAGTTTGTCTTTTCCTTCCTAAATGAGGGACTGGAGGATTGTTATAGAGATATAATCCAGATCCTGCTTCTAAGGAGAGGCAAGCCATTTTTATCTATATCAGCAAATGTGAAGTCAAGTGTTTTAAAAGTGATACCAGGAACCTGACTTCTGAACTGGTTCCTTGCTTTCTTGTAGTTATGTTCCCACATTCTGGTTTCTTATCAGTGTTAAGAAACATGGAGTGGAGAGCCTATACTTGTATATAACTTTCATTTTGCTATTCTCTAAGCATGTGACGAGCATTTGACACATTTTACCTCAAATTTAGTAGTTACATATTTCTTGGGTTCCAAAAATGTTGAAACATGCACCTCTTTATTGGCAATAAAATATTAAATACTATACTTTTGTTAAAGGTATAATCATTAAAGTGATTTTTGTAGTCTTCAGAGAATTCTCCAGTATTGAGGAATGTCACCCCTAACTGAACTGGTAATCCATTGAAGGGATAACACAGCTAGAGTGAGGGAAGAAAGCCTTTTTAAAAAGTGTTACTTCTGCTTCTTCCATTATTTTTTTAAATGTGTGTGTGTGATATATATGTGTATCACATATATATTACATATATATGATAAAGAATAAAACATTTAAAAGATAAAAAGGTAACTAAGATTAGAACAGCATGAATTAGGGGCAAAATATTAGAATATGACTTGAGAATCACAACTATGGGAGGCTAAAAGAGAAAGTTGAACTAAAAATTCTTACATAGAAAGGATTAGAAGTTTAAAAGTAGGATAGATAAGGTACTCAATTTAAAAGAATCAAGTAACAAATTAATATATGGAATGTGGGATGCAAAATTAAAATAGAGCTAAAAGCATCCAAGAATTGATTAAAACCAAAAGGTGGCCAAAATGGTAGTTAAGTGGATATAACTGGTTTTCTCATCTTGCTGAATAGGAATTGACCTAGATCTTATTCAAAGCCCATATAAATAAGTTTATTTTAACAAAAATTTGCATATTACCTCTTATAATTGATAACACGATTTGACCTGTATGGTATTTTATTTTTTTAATTATTTTAAGAAAACGAATGCACACATGAGTGGTGGGGGCATAGAGGGAGAGAATCTTATGTGCAGCATGAGGCGATCTCATTACCCTCAGATCATGACCTGAGCTGAAATCAAGAGTTGGATGGTTAATTGACAGGCACCCTTGATTCTGTGTTTTCTTTATTCATTTGGTTGGGGGTTTTTGTTCTTTGTTTTAGATTCTACTTATGAGTGGACTCATATGGTATTTTTCTTTCTCAGTCTGACTTACTTCACTTAGTATAATACTCTCCAGCTCCATCCATGTCTCAAATGGCATCATCTCATCCTTTTTTATAGCTGCATAATACTGCATTGTGTATATATACACAAATAGAGACACACATATACATAGACACTTTTTAGTATCTAAATCATAGACACAAGGTGTCATTCGTCTGCTGATGGACACTTAGGTTGCATCCATATCCTGGCTATAGTAAGTAACATGCAGTAAATATAAGGGTGCATATGTCTTTTCAAATTAGTGTTTCATTTTCTTTAGATAAATACCCAGTAGTGGAATTATTGGATTGTATGGTATTTCTGTATTTAATTTTTTGAGGAACTATCATACTGTTTTTTGCAGTCGCACCAATTTACATTCCCACCAACAGTGCACAAGGATTCCCTATTTTCCACATGCTCAGCAATACTTGTCATAACTTGTGTTTTTTATTGTAGTCATTCTGATAAGTGTAGGGTAATACCTTATTGTGGTTTTGATTTGCATTTCCCAGATGATGAATGATGTTGAGCTTCTTTTCATGTGTCTGTTGGTCATCTGTGTGTCGTCTTTGGAGAGACACATATTCAAGTCTTATGCCCATTTTTTAATCTGACTGGAAATTTTTTGGTGTTAATTTTTATGCATTCTTTATATATTTTGGATACTAACCCTTTATTGGATATGTTTTATGCAAGTATCTTCTCTTACTCAGTAGATTGTCTTTCTGTTTTGCTGATGGTTTCCTTTGCTGTGCAAAATTAATCCCAATAGTTTATTTTTGCTTTTGTTTCATATGTCTTAGGAGACATATCTAGAAATATGTTGCTATGGCCAATGTCAGAGAAATTACTTCCTGTGTTCTCTTCTAGGATTTTTATGGTTTCAGGTCTCACATTTAGGTCTTTAATCCATTTTGAGTTTATTTTTTATGTATGGTGTTATAAAGAGGTCTAGTTTCATTCTTTTACTTGTAACTGTCCAGTTTTCCCAACACCATTTAAGGAAAAAGATTGTCTTTTCCCCACTGCATATTCTTACCTCCTTTGTCATAGCTTGATTATATAATTATGGGTTTATTTTTGGGGTCTTTATTCTGTTCCATTGATCTATGTGTTTATTTTTGTGCCAGTGCTATATTGTTTTGATTACTACAGCTTTGTCGTAGTAGGCCTTCAAATCTGCTGCTGTGATACTTTCAGCTTTGCTGATCTTTCCCCGGATTGCTTTGGCTGTTCTAGGTCTTTTGTGATACCATACAAATTTTAGTGTTACTTACTCTAGCTTTGTGAAAAATGCTGTTGGTATTTTGGTAGGGAATGCATTGTGTCTGTAAATCTTTGAGTAATATGGACATTTTAACAATATGAATTCTTCCAATTCATGCATGAAATATTTTTCCATTTGTTTGTGTCATCTTTAATTTCTTTCATCAGTGTTTTATGGTTTTTGGAGTTTAGGTTTTTTGTCTTTTGGGTTAAGTTTATTCCTAAGTATTTTATTCTTTTTGGCGCAGTTGAAAATGGTGCTTTTAAAATTTCTCTTTCTATACATTGTTATTAGCAAATAGAAATACTACCAGTTTCTGGGAAAATATCCTGCCACTTCCCTGAATTCGTTTTTTACTTCTACTGGTTTTTCGGTGGAGTCTTTAGAAAGGAAGGAACTTCTTAATCTTATAAATAAACCACCACCATTTATGGTCATAAAGGGAGGTGGGGAGGATGAGTTATAATTTAACTTTGATTCTTCAGTAAGATAAGAGGCAGTAGGAGGACCTTAGGCTAAGCTTTATATTTTTCTTAGAATATAATTTTTCTTTTAGGTTAATTGGACTCCTGAGATTAACAAAGAACACTTGCTACAAGGTCTGCTTCCTGATGTACAAGTGCCAACATCTGTGAAAGATATGCGTTATTGCCAGGTTTCATTCCAAGATGATCATGTGTCTTTGGAAAGTGCATTTACAGTAAGGTTTGTGGGAATATTATATTTTGAGGTATTTCAAAATTCATGATAAGAAAAATGCTTTTATCCAAAGCATACTAGTGAAAGTTGTTTTTAATGTAGAAAATAATTGTAATTTCTATGAAATATGTGGTAGGTTGTCTTTGGAATAAAACTTCACTGGAGATAGTGATTAATTCATCAATCTTTCATCTCTTTGGTTAAATTCAGTCCTGTATTTTACTCTTTTATATACTCTGTGCTTAATTGGCTCTCTGGTATTTGTAAAATCTAGAACTGTCAATAAAGGAAAACCCCTCTAGTGCAAGCAGCAGTGAAAACACCTGTAAAATGACAGATGTGAAAAATATAAAAGGTAACAGTATGACCAGTCAATATGTTGTTCACAAGGAAAAATTCTTTCATTTTCTAGTGATGATTTTTAAACCTGAGTCCAGATAGACCTAGTATTACTAAAAGAAAAGGAGAAGACTTATGCAAATATATATATAAAAAATCTTTCACCCAGACCTATCAACTCCTTGCTCACCTGTTCCAGTAAGCTCATTCACTGAATTCTTCCATCCATTTTCATAATATTTCCAGGCTCCATATTTGAGATTTTTTTTTTAAGAGAGCATGTATGTAAGACGGGAGGGACAGAGTGAGAGGGAGAGAGAGAATCTCCACACCCAGCACAGAGCCCAATGTGGGGCTTGATCGCATAATCCCGAGATCATGACCCAAGCCGAAGTTAAGAGTTGGTCACTCAACCAATGAGCCATCCACGCACCTCTGAGATAAAATTTTTAGATATAGTACTCTCTACCCACAGCCTGATCTCTTGATGATGAGTTATTCTTACTGACCTGCCTTTTCTTTCTCAGTTCCCTTTTCATAATTCCTTTTAATCTCGCATAGATGTTATGATTTATCACTTCTTTGCAAGCTGTCTTTTCTCTATTTCTGTTTGGGTTAATAGTGATCTATAAATTGAGATATTTGGAGGAGTGTTGTATTTAAGTTTTAGAAACCAAGTGTTAAATATATATATGTTATTTTTTAGCATATTGAAACTAATTTTTCTCTACAATCAGTGGCATAACTAATTTTAACTTGTTAACTAATTTCAGACCACTTCCTGATGAACCTAAACATCTAAAATGTGAATTAAAAGGAGGAAAAACAGTACAGATGGGCCAAGAGCTTCAAGGAGAAATAGGTTAGTATGGTCTGCTTTTTTTCTTTAAAATACTTATGTAATATGTGCTTATATTTATGTTTTGGCATACACGATCTAAAGGAAAACCTTAGTTTTATATATATTTATTGGTTCAAAATCCATTGTTGGAAAAGATTGCTGTATTTTCATGGTCTTTGCCTAGGCCAACATAACTATGAAATCAGTTTGGCAAAAATAGTTTCGTGGGAAATGCTGGCTTTTGTTAGAAATAATAATAGTTAATATTAAAAGTGCAAAGTAAATGTATCAATGGAGTCCTAGATTTTTCTTATATCTAGAATATTACATAATACTAAGTTATTTTCTTCAAATATTGATGGTGAAGAATCTGATTAACACCATATTAAATATATAAATATAAATATACTTAAGTAGATTCTTGGTTTTATTTTTTGGTGGTTATTATAAAAGAAGCAGGTATGATTACTTTTTATAAAATAATACATAAGAGAACAATGTTAGTGGTTTTCTAAGCATATTTCAGTATATAAATGTATTTATAGACATTTATATCTTTTATTAAAAGATAAAAGTTTGATTTTAAACTTTTCTTTTTTATATAGTTGTAATAGTTACAGATCAGTATGGAAATCAGATTCAAGCATTTTCACCAAGTTCATTATCTGCCTTGGGAATTGCTGGGATTGGACTTGATAGCTCTCATTTGAAAACTACCTTTCAGGTATGGCTGCTTTTCATTGCAGTTGGCTTAGACCATTGGTTTACAATTAACAAAATTTGGGAAAAACTAAAATAAAAGAAATTTGATTTTGGTGTTTACAATGCAAAATCATAAAAGGCATTAAAAAAGATTTTGTAATGACAAACTTTAAACTCAAAAAATAGAATAGCAGAAGTAATTCTGTGTTCCTATCACAGCCTCAATAATCATCACTTTCCCCATTACCATATCATTTTGAAGCAAATTCCACACATGATATCATTTTATCTCTAAATATTTTCATGTGTATATAGAGGTAGTTTTTCATGATTAGTAAAATTTCTTAGTGCTTACGTCCTGCGTTAAATAGGAGGCTGGGGAAGAAACTAATTGGACAAATTTGCAACTGTGGAGTTGAGATTAGCTTGAAAAATAAGAACGAAAGTGGAATTATTTCTTTAAAACATGCGAGCAAACATGATGTGTTCTGTTTGGAGAGATCGAAGACAAATTTTTTGGGGAAAAAAAAAAGATGTCTTTTGAGTTGGGCCTTTAAGGAACCTGCCAGGCCAGAGAAGATGAAAGAGGAGGAAGGAATTCTAAGGCCAAATAAAGTTGAATCCATTCAGAGCATTTAATGCTTTTTTAAAACTCTTTATTCCTTTTAGAGCCTCCAGTACATTTTTAACTTGACAAAATAATCACAAGAGTAGCCTCTTTGTTGCCCTTCCTTACTAGAGTTTCTTTTTTCACTAATCTGTTCGACACAACTCATTGTATCTTAGCAGTGCTGAAGAACTTTTCGTGATATTTTGTCTACTTTACAAAGGTAAAGTTTAGTGTCTGACTTTCAGGTTCTTCTATTATTTATCTTCATCCCATGTATATCTGAAATCAGAAGATAACTATGTTTCTGCTGTTATACATGAACAATCTCTATACATAGACACCCAACCTTGCATTCAGTAATTTCTCCTAAATTGTAAACTGCCTTCCTATATCTTCAATCTTCCCCATCTGTTCGATTCCCATCAGGATGTAAACATGCTGTCATATCTCACATCTTAAAAAACAAATTGCCACCCTCCTTTCCCCCTCATACTGACCAAAACGTCCTTTGGCCCTAATGCTTTGTCCACCTATTGCTCTATTTCTCTTCTTTCTATAGTATAACTCCTAGAAGGGTTGTATGTATTTTGTTTTCACATTTTTTTATGTCATTGTGAATTTCCCATTCTCATTTTATGCCACCTATCAGATCTCAGCATTTAATGCTGTAAATATAGACTTTCATCTCCTCAGTATGGCCTAAAATATCTAAGGTATTACACTGAAGCATAATCTCACACCTTTCTCCTCCCATAGCTCATTATTCTTTAGTCAAGGTGACTTACTTTCTTCATGTTGTCATTTTACAACTGGTATATACTATCTTGACTCACTTTCAGTCTCTGCAGAAGAAATGGAGCCTTCTGTTTTAAAACTAGTTTTTTAAAAAATAGTGGTTTGGATGGGGGGGGGTGGGAGTAAGTAGTTTTAAGATGTCACCATTTCTTCAAATTATTTCTGCATTTACATAAAATGTACTGCTATTCTAAAGTACGTTCCTTTGATAATTTCAGCATTAGACCTTAAAGAGTGCCTTTCACAATTTTATACTTAATTCTATTTGGACTCATCTACAATTTGTAAATGCATATACAAATTTCATCTTCAAGATTTTCCAGAAGTAAAGGGGATCCTTGGGTGGCTCCGCAGTTTAGCACCTGCCTTTGGCCCAGGGCATGATCCTGGAATCCTGGGATCGAGTCCCACGTCAGACTTCTTGCATGGAGCCTGCTTCTCCCTCTGCCTGTGCTTCTACCTGTCTCTCTCTCTCTCTCTCTCTCTCTCTCTCTCTCTCTCTCTGTGTCTCTCATGAATAAGTAAATAAAATCTTTAAAAACAAAAAAAGATTGGAAGTAAAACTGAAAGAACCTCGAAGAGGACTTAAACAAGAAATCATATCTTTGAAAGGGCTTTTGGTGTTTCAGTAATAAATGTGGAATTCTAGGTTAGACTTTACATATTTTCAACTTTCAGTATGTTTTATTAATGAATATTTGTTTTCCAAATACTGAAAAGTTCTGTGCTCATTGGGATTTGGGCAGAAATTAATTTTAATTATTTTTGCCATCTCTTTGTATAGAAAATATTGTACAAACAGTTGTTTGAGAATGTAAAACATGAAATTTTAAATCTGATTTTTAAAAATCTGATGGAATAGATTTGTACTCAGAAATTTAAGATGACAAAGTTATTAACGGTCATTGTTAAAATATGAATGGTATCGTGCTCCTGCCAGTATGGAATTAGTTTTTATCATTCAATCACATTGCAGAAATTATAGGCTAGTTTCATTGATTCTCATTAACATGATGTGAACTAGCGATTGAGCAGTAACAAATCAAAGCCCCTACCTTCTTGGAGATCACTTTATAATGGGAAGAGCATACAGCAGGTAAGAAGTGAGTGATAAGAAAAATAAAATGGGGTAATGGAAACAGTGCCATTATGTTGGGTGGTCAGAGAAGACCCTCTAATCATGGTATGAGAGATAAAAAGAGAGGTCATGTAGGTTGGTAAAGAATTTTGCAAATAGCAGGAAAGAACAACTGCAAAGGGTATTAAACCAGCATATGCTACTTGGGGAATAAAAAGACTATAAATAAGAAGGACATTAGAAAAATATAAGGTGAAAGGACATAGCCAGAACCTTTTAGATCTCTCCCTCACAAAAAAGAAATTCAGTTTCACTTCTCAAGGAAATGAATTTCATAGTGTGCCAGTATTGGTATGTGTCCAAGGTATTTGTCATTGTTTTATGCAGAAATATATAATATTTTCTTTTTTTTCTTTTTTTCTTTTTTTTAATTAACCATAATATCCTGTCTTTTCTCAACCTACTTTTCTTCACTAGGAAAATACACAAAGTATAAGTGTAAAAGGCATCAAATTTATTCCAGGCCCTCCTGGAAATAAGGATCTTTGTTTTACTTGGCGTGAATTTTCTGACTTTATTCGAGTGCAGCTAATTTCTGGACCACCAGCAAAAGTTCTCCTTATAGACTGGCCAGAATTAAAGGAGGTAAGTAACTCTGCCTTGATTAAAAATTTATTATCACATGGCTTATTACTTTCAGATTGTCAGTGGATCAGCGTAGATATATTTTATTGTCAAAGTAATAACATAGCAATAGTAATAATAACAAAAGGACAAAATAATATTATTCTGAATACTTTCATCACTTGTGTTCTCATTTGTTAAAAAATAGTGTAATACTTATGAATACTATGTAATGTGCAGAATTGTTGATCATTAGATTGCATACCTGAAACCAATGTAACACTGTATGATAATTTTACTGGAATTCTAAGTTTATTTTATTTTTTATTTTTCTTAAAGACTTTATTTATTTATTACTGAAAGACACAGAGGGAGAGAGGCAGAGACATAGGAAGCAAGAGAAGCAGGCTCCATGCAGGAAGCCTGATGTGGGACTCAATCCTGGGACTTCAGGATCATGCCCTGGGCCGAAGGCAGGCACTCAACTGCTGAGCCACCCAGGGACCCCTGGAATTCTAATTTAAAAAAAAAAAAATTTTAAATATTGTAATTCACACTTTTAAAATTTTACTGCAGAAATTTATAAATCTGTAAAAGTGAAAATAGCATAATGAACCCCCTGTTTCAACAGTTACTATTTTTTCCCCATTTTGTTTCATTATTCTGTCTTACTATCTTAAATGTTTGCTCTGGAGTTTGAGAAGTATGCCTTTCTATGCAGGTAGTTAAATCTTAAATACTGATTATGCAAATATCTGTTAAATGTGTTGAATTTTTAACTAAATGTTTAGAATTCCAATTTTGAAAAGTTTAGATTTTGGTATTTGTTTTTGGTCTAACAGGGCCTTTACCTGTTGGTATGAAAGCTTACATTATTTTCTAAAGGGAAATGAGCTTATATCACCATGGTAATGAATGAAATTATGCTATTAAAGGAGAAGATCATCTAAGAAAAGTTTACATTACCTGTGCCCTAGTTTGAGATTGCCCTTTTTGATTTGTGAGTTTAAAATAACAAGTGATGACAGTGAGCATTAAGAATTTTTTTCTGTGATATTGTGTCGACTGAAGAGTTTTACTGAAAAGCCAGTGCATTTATTTTTATCTAGGAGCATTTATACTACATAAATTAATATGTTCTTTGTGCCCAGTAATGTCAATAAAGGATTTGTTTATTATGTTATGAAATAATTTTTTACCTTTGAGGTGGAAAAATGTTGGCATGTCCATCTTTTAATATGATTTTGTGTTGAGGAATGTCAAAAATAATGATAGCTTAACTCAAATTTCTTAAAAGATTAATTTGTAGACCGTAGAAATCCAGAAATTTTTAAGACAAACCAATTTCTTGTTCTGTTACAGACATATATATGTAGATAAGGCTATAAAAGTAATCATTGAATATCTTGTCTTCCTAAAATTTCCTGATTAATTCTTGACCCACTTTCCCCCTAAGCAGGATCTGAAGTGGAAAAGGGTAACTGATTTGCTAACTAGCTGATAAACAGACAAAAATATACATAAATGTTATATATTTTTCTCATTTAACCCTAACATGATGTATTATTATCATTCTTATTTTATAAATGAAGAAACTGAAATCCTGAAACATAAAATTCCATGCCAGTACTAAAAAGTGGGAGAGGGCAGATTTGTATTTATGAATATTCGATTTTGGATACTAGCTTTTTCCACTTTTTCCCAGATAACTTTATGACTAAAAGTGTGGGCTATAAGCTATTTTTAAAGAATATTCTTGGGCAGTCCCGGTGGCCCACCAGTTTAGTGCCGCCTTCAGGGGCATGGTCCTGGAGACCTGGGATCGAATGGTCCTGGAGACCTGGGATCGAATCCCACGTCAGGCGCCCTGCGTGGAGCCTGCTTCTCCCTCTGCCTTGTCTCTGCCTCTCTCTCTCTCTCTCTCTCTCTGTCTCTCATGAAATAATAAATAAAATCTTTTAAAAAAATAAAGAATATTCTTTAAAATTAGTCACTATTTGATGTGTAGACAATTAGCATGATTATGAATAAAGTACCACAGGGCAGCCTGGGTGGCTCAGTGGTTTGGCGCTTGCCTTCGGCCCGGGGCATGATCCTGGAGACCCGGGATCAAGTCCAGCATTGGGCTCTCTGCATGGAGCCTGCTTCTCCCTCTGCCTGTGTCTCTGCCTTTCTCTCTGGATCTCTCATGAATAAATAAATAAACTTAAAAAAAAAAGGAATAAAGTACCAGGATATGTTTGCATTTGGAAATTGTCATCAGTTTTTTTTTTTTTAATTTGGGCTTTTAATAAACTTTGGCAGATGGAATATAGTCAAGCATTTTAACCAACCTAGTATAAGGGCATCTTTTAAAAAAAAAATAAGTTCTGCCAGAAATAGATTATTAATTTTTTTCCCACTTCTAGCAACCTCCTAACGTTATTTGTTAACCAACAACCTCCCTGTGATTGGAGGCAACACAGGGATCATTATTGACAGGAGATGATAAATCAGCTTTACTTTATCACTAGTTTGTTCTCTCCCATCTTCTTTTTTTTTTTTTTTTTAACTTTTAAAATCTGACTTATTAGATTGGAACTTTATCAGGTTTCTCGCCGAACAATGTGTTTCCTTTTAATATGTTCAGTATTACTAGGTCAACAGGCAAATTCCCAGCATTACACAAGCCTCACATAAAGGAGGGAAAAAACAGGAAGTATTTTAAACCAACAAGACTGTAGATTATCAGTGACTAGTCCTATTTAAGGAGCACTAGAAAGCTGTGTATTACTGCTTCATGTAGAATGGCAGAGTACTGACAATTGACAGAGGAGCTAAACTATAACAGCCAGTACTACATCTGAGAACCTAAGATAGGCTTTTATTTCCATTAAAGTCATTCTAATAAATAACTTAGGAATGTGTTAAAAGCCAGTAATGTTGGATGCCTGGGTGGCTAAGTGTTTGAACTTCTGCCTTTGGCTCGGGTCCTGATCCCGGGGTCCTGGGATTGTGTCCCACATCAGACTTCCTGCAGGGAACCTGCATCTCCCTCTACCTCTCTGTGTCTCTCATGAGTGAGTAAATAAAATCTTAAAAAAAAAAAAAAAAGCCAGTAATGTCAAATGCTGTTTTTTCTTTATTATGTTAATAATTTCTATAGGAAGATGATCACTTGTGACATATAATTTGACTTTCAAAAGTTTAATTGATGACAGAAGCCACTTGTGACTAGAACAGAGCTAAAAGTTAATCATTTAACATGTGTACAAGTAGTAATTACATTGTTTGGCACATATGTTTTAGTGCTTCTTAAAATACTTATATCTATTTTAGTCCATTCCAGTGATAAATGGAAGAGAATTACAGAATCCTCTCATTGTTCAGCTTTGTGATCAGTGGGATAATCCAGCACCTGTATCACAAGTTAAAATAAGTCTCATAAAAGCTAACAATTTAAAGGTAGGTTTTAAATATCCTTTACATAATTTTCTTCTCCTTAAAATTTTGAGTTTCATTGTTATGATAGTGTTATTAGATGTCATATTTTAAAAAATATAGCCTTATATAACCTTTATGATTATTGTTTAGTTTAAATCAAAGATTTTTGATAATTATTTTGAGGAAGTAAAGTTTTTATCTTGGAAGCAATGTAACAAGGGACAACATTCTATAGTTATGATTGAGTGGTTATTACATAATAATAATATTTGAATTTCAGAATAGGATAAATAGATAACACTGAAAAGGTGAGTAAGGCAAATAGAATGACCTGCAGTATGGGTTAAGGAACAAGTAATATTCAAAAACCTTACAAGCTGAGTCGTGTGAGTACCTGTCCTCTACATACTTACGGAGAGCTACCAGGGCCTAGGCATAGCTGGTACACTGATACCAAGTTGTATTTTAGGGTATGGGGCAAGCATGAATATGGCCTTGTAACATTTGGGGGGTAAACATAGTGCTTGATACCAAGAAGTCCAAGATTAGGTACCACCTATTTACATGAGCCATGGGATAGCCAGTTGTTTAGGTTCTGGTGGGCACTTCACCTACTACAGAGTTGGAGGGCCCCCCATGAGGAAAAATAGGTGAAGCTGCCAGCTGCAAAGTTGTATTTTGATACAGACCCTCCTGTTGAAGAAAATTAATTTGTCCCAGTCAGGTTGTTACCCAGCAACATGGAAAGTTCCTGGGGTTATATTCAGATGGGTTTAAGTATCCCTCTATAAACATTTTATAATTTTATTGGATGAAAACAGTTGATATTATGTAAATATTCAGTTCTACATTAATTAGTTCAATAAGAATGCTAACAGAGATTTCCAGGACCTGACAAGTTGATCTTCTATATCATCTGGAAGATTAAAGTGCCAAGAATGGCTTGTGATCCACATGGACTTGTTTTCATAGTAAAATTCTTAAAGACTGTTTAAAGAGACTATGATATTGCTTGCTATACAACCTAAAATAGAAGCCTTGCTTTAGAAAAATGAGTTGAGAGTGTATCAGAGAGTAAATGAGATGGGTACAAATACAGGATTTTATTCTGTCATTTTGATATTCCTTCTCATTTTTGTGTAACTATTGCCTTTTTTGTTTGCATGTACCATAATTACCTAATTTTTAGGTTCCATTAAGCAGAAATAAGAATTAGGGCTTAGGAAAGAGTCTGATACTCTGCTACAGCAGTTTACAAATTCACTTGAATTCTTAATATTTGCTTCTAGAAGAGAAACTGATTATTTTTTGCCACAAATAAGAATATTATTTTAGTTTCTAGAGAAGCATTTGTAGAAAGCTGAGAGATTCTTCTAACCAATGATTAGTACCATTGATTCCTAGTCATTTGAAAGTAAACTTTGGTCATCACTGAGAGAGTCATAACTGCAACAGATACAAGAAGCACATCTGAGTAAACATAACGAGAAAGATGAAATAACAGTATATAGTATTACATAGTATTATACTGTAGTATAATAGTAGTATTACAATGCCTTGGCTTAAACATGTATTTATGTTTATTTCACCTGTGCCATTCTCTTCAACCCCCAGTTTTGGAATATGCCTTCAGTGTTTATATAACCAAACTTCACTTGAAATACGAATGTTATTGAAACAGTGAACATTGAATTCTGCAACTTAATAACAGAAATACACTAAATTGTAGTTTAATCGGTAAAGATAAGTGATTATTGTCCTTTGGGTTATGTAATTATGTATCACGTTATTTCTACTAGTTCAGATTAGGACATTAAAGATTTTAAAAGTGTGTGCAAATGTAACTTTTAAAATAGTAATGGAGGAAAGGAACACTGTAATAGAGGAAAATAATTTGATCTCTAGAATTTTCTAATTTACTGTTTTGTTTTGTTTTTAGCTCACGCCTTCAAATCAACAGCATAAAACAGATGAAAGGGGCAGGGCTAATTTGGGAGTGTTCAGTGTTTATGCCCCTAGGTAAGAACCAAAAATTTGATAGTTGTTAGTATTATAGAGATTGATGTTTCTTATTCCTTGTTAAAGTTAAGAGTAATAATTAGCCTTCTATTTAGTGGAAGGAGATGGAACTAAACAGGAATAAAGAGGTTTTTTAAATGAGTTAAACTTTGTGTAAATTGTCTCAGAATTTTTAAGTTATAACTAATGTAATTTGAACCCTTTGTCTGTTTTTTTCCCCTCTCCTTGTTAGAGGAGAACATATGATGCATGTTAGAGCCATCTATAACAAGAATATCATAGAAGGACCTATAATTAAGTTAATGATTCTTCCAGACCCTGAAAAACCTATTCGTCTCAATGTTAAATATGACAAAGATGCTTCCTTTTTAGCAGGGGGTATTTTCACTGGTGAGTAAGTGACAAATTTCAAATAAATTTGTAATGATAATTTGCTTTTTACATTAAAGGAATAAGTTATCTTCTATGTTAGGCATGATAAAAAAAAAACAAGCCTGTGATAGTCTTTTAAATGGCAAAGAAAGTACATTTGTCTTAGTTTTGTTTTCTTTCATCTCTGTGTCCTATATTCATTCCCCTCAATGGTTAAGAATAAACTGAAAGTTTCTACATAAACTGAGAGCCTGTTGTAATTGAGTTTGTAATTGTTCATTCACTGGATTGTGAAGTTCTGCAAAAGTTCTGCCATTTAGCAATGGCAAGAAATATGGGGGCTCTACTAAATAGGTTGTAATGTCATCTTCAACCAAATTAGAACTAGGATTAAAAAAAAAAAGAACTAGGATTGCTTAACTTAATTTGAAAATAGATCACATCAGAATTTATGATTAAAGATGCTCTAGAACAAATTGGGCTCTTAGACCTCAATGGAAATTGTCATATTCATTATTGGAACTGTCTAATGCAAGAGACTCTTAAGCAAATAATTTCAGTGGAGTGCAGCAGGTGCCAAGTCAATAGGAAATGGTATTTATTACCATTACCATTACCATTGAAGACCTCTGTTTTCTTGAATGGATAAATTCCTATACATAATTATAGAGAATAAAACAAGCAGAGCAAAACATTTAGAATAGAAAATTAATCATTTTTAATAAGTTACATATATACAACCTTTATAGTCATAATTATGAATCTGTTTTGGGTGATAAGACCTATTTCCTGTGATTAAAAAAGTAAATCTATCATATGGGTACCAAATGAATGATAAACATAAGGGGAATACTATATGTAAAAATAGTTTAGCTACCCTATGCTATTAAAAATCATGAGAGAGGGACGCCAAGGTGGTTCAGTTGTGTCTGCCTTTGGTGGCTCAGGGTGTGATCCCGGAATCCCGGGATTGAGTCCCCTATCAGGCTCCCTACATGGAGCCTGCTTCCTCTCCCTCTGCCTGTCTCTGTCTCTGTCTCTGTCTCTCTCTCTCTCTTTATCTCTCGTGAATAAATAAATCTTAAAAAAAAAATCATGAGAGAAAATAAACACTATATTCCCAGAATATATAAAGCATAAGGATTTATGACCAGTTGCCTTAAACCTAGGTTTAATATGAGTATCCAGTCTAACCTTTGGTCTTGCCTAGTAGAATTTATGGCATTACAGACTGAAAATAAATCAATGGACTAGTAATAGCAAAGATGTATGTGTTACATTTCTGGAGGAGACTTAGCACTAGAGAGAGTTGTCTGTTGTGATTAGTACATTTTTATAGACATGATTGGGGAATGCTGATTGTTTTCTTCAGAATTTCATTATTAATATTTAAACAAGATATATACTTTAAGACATAGAGTTATTTAACCAAATCCATTAAATGGACTAGAAAATAATTTTTAATATTCATCATGACAGATTTTATGATTACTGTTATTTCTGAAGATGACAGTATCATTAAAAATATTAATCCAGCACGTATTTCCATGAAAATGTGGCAGCTGTCTAACAGTGGGAACCGACCACCAGCAAATGTGAGTTCTGGAAAGCATTATCAAAGTTTAAACTAGATCTTATATTTAACTTAAAATTAAATGTACTTAAAATTAAATATACTAGAGAACTAGACATTAACCTGCGTCATCACTTGAGATTTTAAAAATATATCAGTATGTCTCAAAATTAGTGTTGGTGCCTTTCAAAAAAAGCAGCCTACACTGTGATATTTCTTAAACTTTTAAGCTATATTATACTTTAAAATTATCTGAAGGACAGTGGCATAGGGCAAAAAGCCATTGAATACCACTAAGAGATAATATTGACAATGAGATAGTAAAGAGATATGATTGGATACACTTGCAGGATAGAGAAGGGGGGTGGAGTGATGAGAACAGTTTGAGGTCTAAAAGAGCACAGTCCAATAGAAATATAATACAAGTCCCACATGATATTTATATTTTTCTAGTAACAACATTAAAAATGTAAAAAGAAAAATAAACTTTAATTTAATTTTAACCTAACATCAAATTACTATTTCAGTGTATACTCAGTTTTTAAAATTTATTAATGAGATTTTACATCCTTATATGTTACTAATTCTTTGAAATTTCCTGTGTATTTTATGCTTGTACCCATCTCTTTTTGAACCAGATATGTTTCTGTTGCTCAGTAGCCACATGGAGCAATTGGCTACCATATTGGACAGTGTGAACCTAGAATTGAAAGCTAAAGCATATTAGAGTGTCTTAATTTAACAGTGCCTTTCAGGATTTATGATTCATTTTAATTATGTGTTTAGGAAACTAGCTTCCTAGATTTATACTGTCCCATCAAGCAGCTGTTACCTTAAAACTGTGTCACCACCATAGAGCTCTATTTTGTGCCCTTTAATAATGGTATATCATCATGACTCATCCCATTATTAAATTTTAAAATGCATGTAAAGATATGTGTGTATTTATAAATCCAGATGTGATCTGTATTTGCATTTGGGAAAGATAATATAAAGTTTCATCCTGAATATACTATATGTTAAATGTGATTTCTCCTTCCCCCACCTTCACCCCTACTTCCTTTCTAGGCAGAAACATTTAGTTGTAATAAAATAAAAGATAATGACAAGGAAGATGGCTGTTTCTACTTCAGGTATTTCTCAAATCATTTGATATTTTTGTGCATAATGTTTACAAAGTGATTTCAGCCTTGATGGTACTTGTCTGCTCAACTTGGGAAAAATAATTTATGATTGAAAAGAATATGTTTGTATCTCTTAATTTTTCTCAGGAAGTATTTTGAGAAAATGTGTATTATTTGTAAGCTTTGTAAAATGGTTTGGGGAGAGACTTGTGATAGTTATATTAGCTTTCAAAACAATTAAAATCATCAAAAAAATAACATTGTCAGAGTACTTTATGTTATTATATAGGAGGTTTCTGTAGTTCAAAGCTTAAGTGTTATGAAATAAAACAGATTGAACTAGTTTTTTATGGTTTAACTATATGACTTTGAATTTAATTCACTTGAATTTTTGTTTCTCTATTCTAGACTTCTACTTTGAAATAGGAAAATTGGTTTTGAATAGACTATGTCCAGGATTTCTTTCATTTATTTTTAAATGAGAAATGTTCTTTTAACTTTTAGACTAAGTTTTGTTTCTTCAAATATATTAGTCTCTTAAATCATGTAGAAAACAAAAAATGCAGTTATAAACATTGTTACAATAATACTGGCATTTATCATTGCCTGTGTATTTACCTTTATTGAGATCTTTGTTTCTCCATGTAGTTTCGAGTTATTGCCTGTTCTTTCATCTTACTCTGTAGTATTTCCTTGAACATTTCTTACAGGCCAGGTCTAGAAGTAATGAACTCACTTAGCTTTTGTTTATCTGAGAATGTCTTAATTTTTCCCTCACTTTTTTTTTTTTAAGATTTTATTTATTCATGAGACAGAGAGAGATAGAGAGAGAGAGAGGCAGAGACACAGGCAGAGGGAGAAGCAGGCTCCATGCAGGGAGCCTGATGTGGGACTCGATCCCGGGTCTCCAGGATCACGCCCTGGGCCAAAGGCAGCGCTAAACCTCTGAGCCACCGAGGTTGCCCTCCCCTCACTTTTCAAGGGCAGTTTTGCTGGATATAGGATTCTTGGCTGACAGTATATTTTTTTAAAGCACTTTGAATATTGGTCCATTGCCTTCTGCCCTCTAGACTTCCTGATGAGGTATCTGATCAGTTTCTTGAGAATCCCTTGTGTGTAATGATTCACTTCTCTCCTACTGCTCTCCATATTCTCTCATTGTCTTTGCCTTTTGAAATACTCTCTCTCTTCCCCTGGTGAGAGGATACTTGCTGGTGTCCTAAAGGTCCCTCAGGTTTTGTTCACTTTTATTCAGTTCTTTTTCCTTTCTGTTCTGTAGACTATGATATCCATTATCTTCAGATTTAGTAAGTCTTTCTTCTTCTACTCAACTCTGCCTTTGAATACCTGTACTGAAATTTTCACTTCAATTACTATATTTTTCAGCTCCAGAATTTGCTTTTGGTTTCTTGTCAGCTTTTCTGTTTATTGATATTTCCATTTTTTCCCTATACCACTTTGATTTTCTCTATGTGTTGCTTCAGTTCTTTGAGCATCTTTACAATAGGTGTTTGTTGTGTTTTGTTGTTGTTGTTAGAGAAAGAGACGGGAGAGTACAAGTTGAGGGTTAGGAGCAGAGGGAGAGGGAGAGAGAGTATTTGAAGAATGGCTGGAACTACCCAAGTCTAGTTTTTATTTATTTATTTTATTAAAGATTTTATTTATTTATTCATGAGAGACACATAGAGAGGGGGCGAGGCGCAGAGACACAGGCAGAGGGAGAAACAGGCTCCATGCAGGGAGCCCAACGTGGGACTTGATCCCAGGTCTCCAGGATCAGGCCCTGGGCTGAAGGTGGCACTAAACCACGGAGCCACCTGGGCTGCCCCCGAGTCTAGCTTTTAAAATAAAAATCTCAAGACCAAGAAATAGCAAAAGTATCTGCCATTCATAGGAAAAAAACAAGTCAGCCAAAGCTGTTCCTGAAAATCCTGATGGCAAACATACTAGACAGGGACTTAAAAAACACCTATCTTAAGCTCAGAGTTGTAGGATTGAGCCCCACGTTGGGCTCTGCTCACCCAGGAGTCTGCTTGAGATTCTTCATTTCCTTCCGCCTCTACACCTCCCCCTGCTTGCTCTTTCAATCAATTCAATCAATCAGTCAATCTTAAAAAATAAAAATCTTTGCTGTGTAGGCAGATGGGCAAAATAGGGAAAGGATATTGAAAGGTGCAAACTTGCAATTATAAAATAAAACATTAGGATGCAGTCTATAGCTTAGAGGATATATATAATTAATATGTATTTACATTAATATGTAAATACTTTGTACAGTGACTGATGGTAGCAAGTTTTATTGTGGTGGTAGTCACTTTTTTATATGTATAAATGTTGAGTCATTGTGTTGTACCCCTGAAACTAATATAATAGTGTATGTTGACTGTATTTCAATTTAAAAAATTAAATTTAAAAAGTGGTTAAAAAGGAAAGATTTTTAAAAATCATGTACACTGTCAATTATACAAATAAAATATATTTCCATATATTGGGTATATTTGAATACATGAAAATATTTGCATTCTTAATGTGTGTCAGTCACTGTGTTTGGTGTTCTGCATATAATCTCAACTTTTTAACCTTTTAAAACAAATAGAAAATTCATAAACTTAAAAAGATGCAGTTTTATGACTTCTCCCAAAGTGAATTTCTGTACAACCATTACTGAAGTCAATTGCCAGGACCTGGGAAGCCCCACCTTGTGCCCCTCCCAATCATTACCTGCTTCCTTCCTGCTACACGTACACACACACACACACACACACACTAAACTCTCTCCTGAGTTGGTTTTCTTTGCATCCCCAAATTCTTCAGTTGTGCCCATTTTTAAACTTCATATGTACTATCTTTTGTATACAAGTTCTTTTACTCAGCATTATAACTTAATGTTTTTCATGGCTTGTAGCTATAAATTCATTCATTTTCATTGCTGGATAATTGCTAGATCTTAGATTATGTATATGTTTAACTTTATTAGCTGGTGCCAAGAAGTTTTTCAAAGTGTTTATGACAATTTATACTCCTACCAGCAGTTATGAAAGTTCCCATTCTACATTCTCCCCAACAGTTGGTTTTATCAGTCTTTTCTGTTTTGCTATTCTTATGGGTATGTAGTGATATTAGGTTTAGTTTTGTGTTTCTTTTTTCATAGTGTATTTATTGGCCATTTGGATAACCTTTTGTGAAGTGCCATTATGGCTTATCAATTTTTCTGTGGAGTTTTCTTTTTCATATTAATTTGTAGCAGTTCTCTATATATTCTGGGGATAAGCCTTTTGTTAGACATCTTTGCCTATTCCATTGCCTTGCTTTTGGACTGTATGATATCTTGAACAGAAGTCCTTATTTTTTAATATAATCAAACTTGTTAATCTTCTCCTTTTTAGGTAGCCCGTTTAATGTCCTTAAGAAGTAATTTCCTTACATTTAAGCCTTGAAGCTATTCTGTATAATTGTGTTGAGGGTTCCTGAGACCACCCCAGGTTTGATGATTGATTTGGAGGACTCACAGAAGTCTATTTATAGTCAGACATCTATGATTTATTACAGTGAAAGGATACAAAGCAAAATCAGGGAAGGGAAAAGATGCATTGGGCAATGTCCAAGGGAAAATATACACAAATTTTCAAGGGTTCTTTCCCAGTGAAGTCACACAGGACTTGCTTAATTGCCCAACAAGTTATGATAACATGTTAGAAATGCTGCCAACCAAGGTAATTTTATCAGAGACTTAGCACTCAGAGTTTTTTAGGCGGCTAGTTGTATAAGGGTCCTCTGCCTGCACATATCAGAATTCAGATTCCCAGAAGGAAAGCAACAGTTTGGCATAAGCCATATTATTTGTAGAAACAGTTTAAGCTTTGTGAATCACTCTTAGCAGTTAATGGTGGGAACCTTTCTAAAATCTGAGTTCACAAATGCTAACCAAAGGCTAAGCTTGTGAGCAGGGCTTTGCATCTACTTTGTTAACTTTTTTTTTTTTAATGAAGTAATCTCTACACCCAGCGTGGGGCTCAAACCCATGACCCTGAGATCAGTAGTTGCGTACTCTTCTGTTGCAACCAAGCACTCCTAACTTTGTAAACTTTTTAAATTATAATTTCTACAGTTATACTTGGAATTAATATTTTTAATGAATGCTGTGAGTTATATTAAAAGTGGGCCATTTGTTTTTATGTATGTATAAAACTATATAAACAGTTGTGGCTGCTTTATTTCTTGAGATCAATTTTTTGCAATGCCATCTTTAAATCCTATGTCCAAATATGTGTACATTTTACTCCATTTGATTTCTTTGCCTGTTTCTCTATATTTTGCCATACCTTCTTGATAAGTTTGGTATCTTATAAAACAAGTCTGCTAACCTTGTTCTTCATGCATATCTTGACCCTTTATTTTCCATATAAATTTTAGAATCAGATTATCAAATATTCAATAACACAGCTTTAATAACAATATCTATGGGGGGGCACCTGGATGACTTAGTTGGTTAAGGATCTGCCTTCAGCTCAGGTCATGATCTCAGGGTCCTGAGATCTAGCCCTGTGATGGGCTCCCTGCTCAACTGGGAGTCTGCTTGTCCTTCTCCCTCTGTGCCTCCCTGCCACTTGTGCTCTCTCTTGTTCACGTTCTCTCCCTCTCAAAATAAATAAAATCCTTAAAAAAAAAATACTTGTTGGGATTTTTGTTTCAGTAAAAATTTGGGAAAATCTTACAATCTTACAGTATGTCATATTCCTCTATTTAAATTTCTTTTTTTTTTAATTTTTTTTTTTTTTTATGATAGTCACAGAGGGGGGGTTGCAGAGACACAGGCAGAGGAAGAAGCAGGCTCCATGCACCGGAAGCCCGATGTGGGATTCGATCCCGGGTCTCCAGGATCACGCCCTGGGCCAAAGGCAGGCGCCAAACCGCTGCGCCACCCAGGGATCCCGAATTTCTTTATTTTCTCTTACATCATTTCATAAAATTTTGAAACAAGGTGTCATACATTTTTCCTTAAGTTAATTTTTAATTAGTTTATATCTTTTCCAGTTTTATTGAGATATAATTGACATATAATATTGTATTAGTTTAAAGTGTACAACGTAATGATTTGAGAGATATATATCCATCCATCCATCCAGGTGTATTCCATAGTAGTTTGGTTACTATCCATCACCTTAATAGCAACAAATTTTTTTCTTATATTGGAAACTTTTAAGATTTACTCTTTTAACTTTCAAATAAACACTATAGTATTGTTAACTCTATAGTTACCATGCTGTACATTACTTCCTCAGGACTTATTCTCCTTTCAACTGAAACTTTCCATCTCCCAGTCCCTGTCTCTGGCAATAATCAATCTCTTCTTTGTATCTACAAATTTGAGGTTTTTAGATTCTACATATGGGTGAAATAATAGAGTATTTGGGAGAAATAATAGAGTATTTGTAATTTTCTGTCTTATTTCACTCAGCATAATGCCTAGATAATTAATATTTTGGATGCTATTTTAAACAACATCCTTTAAGGGGTACTTGGGTGGCTCAGCAGTTGGGTGGCTGCCTTTGGTTCAGGTCGTGATCCCAGGATCCGGGATCAAGTCCCACATCAGGCTCCTGCGAAGAACCTGCTTCTCCCTCTGCCTGTGTCTCTGCCTCTCTCTCTCTCTCTCTCTCTCTCTCTCTCTCTCTCTCTCTCTGTGTGTGTGTGTGTGTGTGTCTCATGAATAAATAAATAAATTTTTTTTAAAAAATCCTTTAAAATTTTTTATTTTGTTTGTTGTTACAGAAATCTAGATGATTTGTGTTTACTCACATTGTAGTCAGCATCTCTCCTAGCCTCTTTAATTTCAGATTCTTTGGGATTTCAAAATATTTGCACATTCATGTCTGTGAATATATGATAGGTTGATTACTTTCTAGTCATTGTGCATTTTCTTTTTCTTGCCATACTGCAGTGGCTTGGACCTTCAGTAAAATGTTAAATAGACATGATGAGAGTGATCATCCTAATTTCATTCCCAATCCTGAATTTCATTTGTAGGTATCTTTATCAGACTGTTCTTTGTAATCATTAGTAAGAAAATTTTCTATTTATTATGAACTGACATTACATTTCATCACCTATTCAAGTAATATGTCATATTTTTGCTTTCTTTTTTAATGTACTGAGTTTTGCAGAACATTAATTTTCTGTATGTTCATTCAGCCAGTCTTGCATTACTGGAGTAAACCCACTTTGATCATGGCTCATAACCAAAATGTGTTGGTGGATTTGTTTTGCTAATTGTTTGGAATTTTTACATTTACATTAATGGGTCAAGATTGCCTATACTGTCTTATATATTCTTTTTAGGTTTGGAATCTAGGTCATATATGCCTTACTACAGTAACTGGGAGAAGTGGTCCCCAAGTCTTGGTTTATTTTCTGGATCTTGTGTGAGAGTTGTCATTATTTCTTCCTTAAATGTTTGGTAGATTTCATCAGTGAAGCCATCTATGCCTGGAGTTTAGGGGAGGAAGGTTGTACTTAATGGATTTAGTTCCTTCAAATTCAGCAGTTATGTGACTATTTGTATTTCCTGTGTCATCTCTGCTCAGTTTTGGTAACTTAAAATTTTCAGTTTGTCAGTCTTAGCTAAATTTTAAAAGTTGTTCACAATTTGTAGACTCTGTAGTGATCTCTCATTCAAATTATTTGTACTTTTGTTAATTGGTTAATCATACCTGGAGATGTAAATTTTGTAGCTCTTTCAAAGAACCAACTTCTGCCTTTTTAAAACTTCTTGAGATTGGTTTTTTTTTTTTTTTTTTGAGATTGTTATTTAACACATTTATTTTCAGCCTGTATATACATATATATGTATGTAAAGCTATAAATTTTCCAAGTTTTTACATTGTTATTTGGATCAAAATATGTTTTAATTTCTATTTTAATTTCATTTTCTGCCCATGGCTATTTTTCAGAAGTATATTGTTTAATTTCTAAATCATGGGATTTTCTTACTCTTTGTTATTGATTTCTAGATTAATTCTGCTATGGTCACAGAGCCTGCCTTGTGTAATTTCATTCCTGTGAAACTGACTGATAATTGTTTTTGTAATATGTGCATATGATCAGTTTTTGTAAACATATTCCATATAGTAGAAAATAATATGAACTGCATGTAAAATAGTGTTATGTTCATTACTTCAAAATTTGGTAATTATTGTGTTTCAGTTTTCTGTAATTAAATTTTTTCTATGTATTTTAAACTTTGCCATGTATATATATTTTAAAGCCGTGTGGTAAATTTCCCGTTATGGGTGTGAATTTATTTTCTCTCTTAGTTCTGTTAGTGTTTACCCATTTTAAGACTGTGTTATTCTTTACATATAGACTTACATTATTATATTTTTCTGACACATTGAATTTGCTATCATTATTAAGTATCTACTTTTTTCTCTAGTGATGCTTGTTGCTTGGAAGTCTGCTTTGATAACAGTATACCAACTTTCCACATATGTGACATGCAGAAACCACTTTAGAGATCATGAGAATTAGTATTTGTATAAATATCTTTTTTTCATTATTTTTGTGTCCTTATATTTTAAATTATCATTTATAGATGGCATATATTTTAAATGATCATATATAGATGGCATAATAATCTTTTTTTGTATATTTTTATTGGAGTTCGATTTGCCAAAATATAGTATAACACCCAGTGCTCATCCCTTCGTTAATAATCCTTTAATTGAAAATTTTAGATCTTAGAAATAATTACCAGAAGCACTTGTTTTTGACTCTACAGTTTTTTAGTTGATTCTACTATCATTTGTTCCTTTTCCTTTTAGATTTATTAAGTGTTTTTAGTTATCATGTGTTACTCTTTATTAACTTGGTCTTATTATTCTCTAAATGATTTTTTTTGAGAGGTTACATGCATAATTACATACTATACCGGTGTGTGATGATGACACTTTGCATTTTTTACCCTCTCCTTGGTCAGTGCATGAATCTTAAAACACTTAAACACCATTCTCCCTCTTGCAACTTGGATGCCTTTGTTGTGTGTGTTAAATCTATCAATACATAATTATTTCATATAGTTAGTGTTCACGTAGCTTTACTAACTCATTTCTGAAGGTTTCTGTTAAGGTTCAACTCAGGTTTTCCATCTAGGATCATTTTGCATCTGAGAAGTTCTTTTAGTATTTATTACCTCTAGTGTACATCTGCTGATGATGAATTATCTCATTTTTACTTGAAAATATATCACACCTTCATACTAGAATAGTATGTTTCTTGAAAATGATACTTTACTTTATATTGGCAGTTTCTTTCTTGCAGTACTTGTAAGCCAACCTTCACTATCCTTTTATTTATGTTGAGAAGCTAGCTATCATCCTTATTACTATTATTATTTTTAAGATTTATTTATTTGAGAGAGAGTGTGTGTATGTGTGCACACGCGTGCGTGAGTCAGGGGAGAGGGAGAAGAGTCTTAAGCAGATGAGGGGCTCTATCCCAAGACCCTGAGATCACATGAGCCAAAACCATTAGTTGGTCCCTTAATAGCTGTACCACCCATGTGCCCCAGCCTTACTATTATCCTGAAAAGTAATTATTTCTATTCTTTTTGTTTTTCAGCAGTTTTACTGTGATGTGTCTAATCATGAATTTCTTTTTATTTTTTCTTCTTAGTTTTCATAGGCTTTGATTTTATGGTCTTTGCTCTGGTTTGAAAAATTATCAACCATTATCTTACCAAATATGGGTTCTGCTTATTCTTTCCCTCTTCTTTTTCTGGCATATTAGTCCTTACAATGTACTCTCTCATCCTCTTTCTCTCCATTTGCCATTCTTTATTGTCTCTCTTCTAGATATTTTCTTCTAAACTACCTTCAGTAACTGATATCTACTCAGTGTACCCAATTTGCTGTTAAATCCATCTTTCAATTATCAATTTCTATTCAGTATTTTTAGTGTTGTTTGTTTTTTAAGGCCTAGTTCTCTGTTGGAATTTTCAGAAATTTTCAATCTTGTCTTTCATTATGCTAAGAATTAGTAACCAGAGTTTATTAAAGCCTGTCTCAAGTTCCTTTTAGTCTGATTCAGTGGGCCCTTATTTCTGTTGTTCTTATTTTTTGTTGTTTACCATACGTTTTGCTTATGAATATTTACAGAAATAATTTGAAGTGTAAAGTATTTTCTTTCTCCAGGTCAGGTTTACATTTGTTTCCATTATCTGGGCCAGTAGCAGTCTGTTTTCTTTTCCATCCACATTCAGAGATTCAGATGATTTAAAACTGAATTGTTTCTCCCTTGGGACCTAGGATAAAGCCTCATATTACAGGAAATATTTGTTGAATGAAGGCAAATATAGTGATAGTCATTCTTTTTTTTATTCATTTACTTTTTGTAGAAGGAGTAGAAATGCTGATGTTTTGAATACCTTCCCTTTTTATTTAAAAGGTATCAATAATCTTATCTCTTTCTAACATAGGGATAAAGCAATTCCTAACAAAGTGGGAACATACTGTATCCAGTTTGGTTTTATGATGGATAAAGCAAATATTCTTAACAGTGAACAGGTTTGCTTACTCTTTTTATATACCATAGTTAGCTTTACATTTTCTTGGTTAGTATAGGAATGAAATGGTTTTGTTTAAAATTGAATTAATTATTGGATGCAGTTGATAATAAAAGTTAAATAATGCAATTTTCAGAAATATTAGGATATATTTAAAATAGGTTGATTAATATGACCTGATATTTAAGTTACTTTTCCATTTCTCTTTATTTTGAGGAGTCCGTAAGCGTTTTAGTGTATATCATGGTATGGTTACTCCTATCAACCATACATGAAAAATTTTCAGTTAATAATATTTTATGTATTAGAATTCTGGATAATGAAGTTTTCTGGATAATGAAGTTAAAGGTAATCTTGATATACATCATCTCCATTCAATATGTTAGTGTACTAAATGTCTAAAAAGTACCTGTATTTTTAAATCTCCTAAATTTGCCCTTAGATGGCTGTTAACATTTGAAAATTTATCTCTGACAAATCTTTCTACTGAATTTTAGAAAATAAGTTGATTAGTTTTGGGTGATTAATGGAAATCTATCTTAGAAAGTAACATTACATTTTTTTAGTGTATGCTAGCATTATTTCTTGTCTTACTCTTAAATACTAAACCATTAATATATTGTTAATCACAAAGCTGCTTCTCTTTTGTAAGGTTATAGTTGATGTTCTCCCTAATCAGCCTGTGAAGTTAGTGCCTAAAATCCAACCAGCTACACCAGCTGTTTCAAATGTTCGCTCAGTTGCCAGCAGGACCTTGGTCAGAGATTTACATCTTACTATTACGGTAATGTTTATTTACTTCCAAACTTGTAAAGAGTAACAAAAATTATTTTTGTTTTAGTGTGCAAAATAGTGAGTCAGACATTAATTATTCAGTTTAAGGCTATAGGGAAAATTTGTGTGGATGAAATATTTATAAACACCTTTGTATTTTAATACCAAGTAGAACTGACTCAAAAATGCAGAAATTTGCCTGCCTTTCTTAATATATACGTTTCTTTAATCTCCTGTTTCCCATATGTTCTATGAATATGTGTGAGATAAATTGACGACTCAGTGTCCATTTTACTGATGGGAAAGAAGGAAGTAATCATTTTTAAGAGCTCTGCTCTGATTGATCATAGTGAGCTCCTCAAAGCTTCTGATTACTGAGGGAGTAAGTGGCAATAGACCTGCCAAGAATATTAAGAAAAACATGTGACACTAGTAATGGGACTTGACCTTTGTGGAAAATTTTCGTAGTGGGATACTATGTTCTTTTCTGGATTTAATTTTACCAGTTCTTCTAATTCGTTTTTTATTGTTTCCTTGAAGGATGACTACAACAATCATACCGGAATTGATTTGGTTGGCACTGTAGTAGCTACCATTAAAGGATCTAATGAGGAAGATACAGATACACCACTCTTTATCGGGAAAGTGAGAACACTTGAATTTCCCTTTGTGAAAGGTTCAGCTGAAATCACGGTAATTTATTATGTCTTCTAGTAGATAACGTTACTATACTTAGTCATTTAAACCACAGTGTTACAATACCTGTTCATTTGTATATATAGCTATGAAAATGTTATAAGTATAGCAATAAATTAGAAAGTGAGTGGAAATATTTTGTGATTTTGCTGTAAGCTATTACAAATTGAACTTGTGGGATTATTATTACTTTGGGCAAGAACCCCCTTTTCCCTGTGAATGTTCTGATTATAATTCTTTTTAGCTTCAGTGATAATATATTAATGTATTCATATATTTAAAAGTTACCATTCTGTGGATAGAAACAGAACATAACATAGCCAGGTAAAATGTATACATATCTAGAAAAACTTAACAAAGCAGCTTACCTTTGTTACCCTTTTTTTTTTCCAAAAGGGAAATATTTTTACTTGTATAAAAAATACACAGTACAAACACGTAAACAATCACTGTTTTACCACTCTTCAGAGATAATGATGATTAGCAATTTAGTGACTTACTTTGCAGACTTTTCTGTACATACACAAATACTGCACAGATACCCTATGTGTAGATGACTTATATACATGGGTGGGGGGTAAAATTTCATTAATAAAAATTTTTTATAAAATCTATAAAATTTTGCTTTTATAAAAATTTTTATTTGACACATCTTTGATGTATTTCTTCATCATTAAGTATAAATGTACACCATTGTATTAATGAACATAAATTTATTTGACCAATCCTAAGTGGAAATTTAGTTTTTCTTTCTTTCTTTTTTTTTTTTTAGTTTCTTTCCAAAGCTTGTAGTTATCAATAGTGCTTTTTATCATGTTTCTTCTGTGTATATGCTTGCATAGTCTGATTATTTCCTTAAGAAATTACTAGAAGCTGAATTGGTGGCAAGATATGTTTATTTTAAGCCTTTTGGTCATTAGCTATTGCCAATTGCTGTTCAGTTTATAGTCCCACCACAAATTTGTGTATGTTCTTCATAATATTGCCAACTCTAAATATGAATAATTTTTAGATTTCTAACCCAAGTTTCTTATGTTTAAAAAAATACTTTGTTACCAGTAGGTTGAACATTTTTCTTGTTCTTGATCTTTTTAGGATTGTCTCTTGATGCTTTTTCTTTTGCAATGTTTATCATTTCCTTAACTTTATATTAAAGATATATATATTTTAAAGATTTTACTTATTATTTGAGAGAAAGAGAGCAGGGGTGGGGGAGAGGGAGAAGCAGGATCCCTGCTCATGCAGGGCTTGATACCAGGACCCTGAGATCATGACCTGAACTGAAGGTAGACACTTAACCAAAGTCAGTCTCTATTGGAAGAATACACCTAACCCACCCTACCTTTATCCTGTTTCCTTGACACTCCCCTACCCCTAGCCCCTTGTAGGCATTTGAAATTGCTACCACAGCTATACACATTTTTGAGTTTAAGATGGTGACGTAAGCTATTTCCTTGCAGCTGCATGTAGAATTGAATTTTCATGTCATACATAGGAATTTCCACTAGAGCTTCCCAATGCCACGCTGAATAAGCAGAAAACTGTTGAGTCCTCCATGGCTTCTGACTCATAGATTGCTTTAGTAGGTCTAGGGTAGGGCTCTGGACTCTTACCAAGCCAGTAATTCTCATCAATATGGACATTTAGGAAATACTGGCCTAGAACACAATGTTATTTGTAAATATTCCATGTTTGCTTGAAAATATGTACTGTTTTCTGTAAAGTTATAATCTAAGCTTATTGTTCAAGTTTATTAATTACATTAGAGAATTCTAAATTCTCCATACTTTTGCTTATTTGATCTAGAAATTTCTGAAAAAGGTTTCTAAATTTTATTCTACATATTTGTCCATTTCTCATATGCCACATTCCCATTTGTGCTTGGATCCAGTTATGGACTCTTCAGTTCTCATTTTTGTTACTCTGTTTTTCTTTGATAAGTTGTACATCAGAGATTGCAAACTATAAAACTTTGAAATAATATAGGAAAGGCCTCCTTAAGACATAAAAGAAAAGATTTTATATCTTTTTAAATTTAATCCAATTAGCCAACATATAGTGCATCATTAGTTTCAGATGTAATGTTCAGTAACTCATCAGTTGCATATAACACCCAGTACTCATCACATCACCCAATAACCCCATCCCCTCACCCAAAGATTTTATATTTAACTATATAAAAAGTTAAAACTTTATATATCATAATCATATCTTAGAATTAAAAGAATGATGGCAGCGTGTTGATAATTATTGACCCTGAATTGTGGATATGTAGAGAGATCATTTATCTGACCATACGATAAAAAAAAGGTTCTTAATTATGTTGTGTAGAAATATTGCTCTGCACACATAACAGTGTTGGGTTAGATATATTAAACATTTTTAAATCTGAAGAACTTCCTACAAATCAATAAGGAAAAACAATTTAGTAGAAAAATTTTAAAAGTAATTTTTTAGTAAAAAATAAAGAGTATGAGCAGGCAGTTAATGGAAGAGAAAGTAAAAAGGACCAGTAAGTAAGATGCATGACCTCAGTACCAATCAAGGAAATGCTAAGTGAAATGATAATGACTGGTTGTTTTTCATCCATTTTGAAAAAAGAAAACTTGCTAATGAAGTGTTGGCCAGCACCAGCGAAACTAGATATTCCTACTAATGATGAGAAGATAAATCAATGGGCTTTTTGAAGGGAAATTTGATATTACCTATTAAACTCTTTTTAATGAGTCCTATTTCTCATTATTGTAGAGAACACACAGAAAAATACTGAAACATACTTTCTTTGCTATATTAAAATTGTAGTTAAAAATTTTTAAGGAAACTAAATGTTCACCCAGCAAAAGGATAAGTACCATATACCTATACTATGCATAAATTTCACAGATTAGTATCTAGATATTCACTTGTATTGATCAACAAATTAGATTGATTGCTGAATTCCACAGTTTTAAAAACATGAATTACATGTTTTAAAAATGTGAACTGTATTTTCTGTGTTTATATTCATGTAAATACATTGAAAACAGCTTTAATAACTAAGTATGACTGCATATTAGTTTAATGGTAGATTTGTATTCTATAGTCCTTGGAAAGAAGAGAATTGTTATCTGTATTTTATAATTTTATTTCATGGATTGCTCTGCAAGTGTTTTATGGATTTATGTTTTTAAAAATTCTGCTTCTCTATCTCTGAATTGTACTAGTCTAAAAAATAAAATAATATCTTGTTTCCTGTAAAGAATGTAAAAAAAAATTAGAATGTAAATATATCTCCATTATTTACTTGATACGTGCTATGGTCTTAAGCTAAATTATATTGCAGGTGTTTTAAATGTGCATTAATAAAGAAAATACATCATAAAAAATCTTCTGAGCTTTTTAGGACCTCTTGTTTGGTCACCTGGGATTAGTGGGTCTACTTCCATGGTAACAGCTGTAACTTAAACTCACCATTGGGCTTTGGGCATGTCTATGATTGTTTTTATAACTTTTATGCCATCCACTGTTTCACACTGCTTCAGCTTCTTAAAGGCTGGCGTCAAAAAGACTTTGCCAGTTAAGATAGTAATTGCCCATTGATACTTCTGTTCCAAAAGAAAAGATACCTTTTTTTCTTGTAATTATCTTGCATAATCTATCCATTGATAAGATCATAAAAAGTTTTAGGTCTTGAGTGATGCTGATGTTTTAATTAATGTTGATGAGTCTTAAGGATCAGTCAATGCCTGTTGCCTTTAAAATTTACCCCACTCGGAAACAACACAGTAAGATAGATATGTAACATTTATACATTGACAATACCATTTTAAATCTTGTTTTTCTAACTGTTCTTTTCTTTTTACAGAATCTAGTGCTGGCGGAAAATAGTCCTGGAAAGGATAGTACTGAATATTTTATTGTATTTGAGCCTCAGCTACCAGCTCTGTCAAGAACATTAGAATCATATATCCTACCATTTATGTTTTACAATGGTAAGTTTTTAGGAAAATAGAGGATTTTTCTTATGTTTATGGTACTTTTTTTTATTATACTTTCCATTAACATGGTGCTTATTAGTTACCTAATCATATTATGACATGTTTTGGAAAAGTCACAATTTTAGAATTGTTTAAATTATCTGAATGCTTTTTCTTAGATGTCAAGAAGCAGCAACAAATGGCAGCACTTACAAAAGAAAAGGACCAGTTATCTAAGAATATTATAATGTATAGAAGTTTATTTGAAGCCAGCAATCAGCTTCTTGATGAAATGAAGTGTAAGTCATTCTGTATTCAAGGATAATAAAAAATTAGGCTTTGGGGAATGGTAAGGCAGAAGGTTGAGACCATGAGACAGAAAAATTGTCTACTTTCCTGGACTACAAATAAACTGCAGAACACTGCAGTAATGGTTGCATTCTTGGTTATCATTTTAAATAAATTTATATCCTGCTTACCTATAAAAATTTGAGATTTTTTTTTAATAGAAATCAATCTGTGGAAATTTAAGGCTTTTAACAAGACAGTAATGTTTATATCTGGCTCCAGGTTCTAGCAGAAGATACTAAAAGACAGTCTTACTGCAGAAGTGATATGTAATTTAATTTTTAGTTGAGTCTTGTGACTGTGTATTTTGCTTAAAATATTTGCGGTGTGTCACACTATGGAGGTATACAGGGCAGCACACATGGTATAGAAGCATCTAACTTTTAAGTAAATGCACCATGTTTGCTGCAATTCATAATCAATTTTATAGATTTAAAATAAGACTTTGGGTTGTGGTTTATCTTTTTCCATTTGTCAGATTTTTTCGTTGTGGTTTTTGTCTCTGTGTTAACTACATAGTTAAAATTTTGATCAGTTAACTGACAAATGTACTGCCTGCCTCAAGGTACTCACTTTTGTATATCCAAGGTCAATGATATTTAGAGGATAATAGAAGCTATGTAGGATGATGAGAAAATACATCAGTAGTAGCACTCAGGGTTCTTTTTATAAAGTCTTACTTGGTTCTTGTCACAATCTTATGCAATTATGTATGTTATATATAGTCATGTGAATCAGGATCAAATGATTTATCTAAGATTACTTGGAGTTTGCAGTATTAATATATACTATCTTCCTTAACCACCTTAAAACCAAATTTGGGTGTGGGTATTTTTTTTAAAGACATTATTTATTTATATACTTATTTTAGGAAAAAATAAATAAATTTATTTGACACAAAGTGGGAGTGAGGGGGGTACTCTGGAGAACAAGCACAGGGAGAGGGAGAAGGAGAAGAAGGCTCTCCACTGAGCAGGAGCCCAGGACAGGGCTTGATCCTAGAACCCTGGGATCATGACCTGAGCCAAAGACAGATGTTTAACCGACTGAGGCACCCAGATGCCCCTAAATTTTATTTTTTTAAAACCACCTTAAAAACCAAATTTTCTTTCTCATTATTGTGTATTAGATCCAAATATTAATTTTAGACTTAGTTTCATTTTGGATTTCTAAAAGAATCACTTATATTTTTTAACTTTAGCATCAGTCATTACGGGGGTGGGGGGGGACCCAAGAGATTGAAAGTATTTTTCAAAACCTGTGTTTCTGGGATTATTACAAATTGATGCAGGTTTGTTTGTTTTGTTTTTAATTTTAGGCCGAGTTGAAGAAGCAAAATTAAAAGAGGCTCAGTTGCAAAATGAACTAAAAACACATAATATTGACATCCCTACAACACAACAGGTATAGTTTCCATGTATAAGTGAAAGGCTTTTTTTATTAAATTATAGTCTCTAATTTTTTTTTTACAATTCATTTTTTATTTAGAGAGTAATGGGCACACTTGTTTTGGAGGTACCAAGACGTGGATTAGCCTAGTCACTAGACATTAAAAGGGGCTAACAAAATGATACTCTTTTCAAAGAAATTGAAGTTTGTATTTCTAATTTAATGACACTAATAAGTGAAATTAATGATACAACAATTTGAGAACTGTGCTGAAAGGGCTTCATAAGCTATAACCAGTATACGTGGTGGCAAAGAAAATGAGATAAAGTGACAATAGATTTCTTAAAACTTACGTTTTTTTATGTGTATAATGCTGTAGTTAGTTGCAAAGAGAAGTCCTATTGTAGGTTGTGTATTTCCTAAGATTAATCAGTGAGGTGAAAACTTTACGTTACTATAACCACATTGTTTTAAAGTGATGCTTATTTAATAACTTTATATTCTTGAGTTGTCCAAATTGTTGATTTTTCTCTGCTATCCTTATGGCTGTCTGGTACAGGAGTAATAGCCTTGTAGTTAATTTTTCTTTACAAATTACAGATGCCACACATTGAAGCACTTTTGAAAAGAAAGCTATCAGAACAGGAAGAACTGAGGAAAAAACCTAGAAGATCGTGTACTCTTCCAAACTATACTAAAGGCAGTGGAGATGTTTTGGGAAAGGTTTGTGTTTAAGCCTTTTAAGAGGCAATCAGTACATTTTATTACGTTATTTTGTTTAAAATGTGTTTTAATGTGACATTATAATAAAAGAGTGTTGATTTCTTTGTACTTTTTAATTTTTTCCCATAAATTTCTTGTTCTTATTACCATAGTAGGGATTTGGCAAAATTTAAAACAAATGCATAATTCCATAATTCTTATTTACTATTGAAGGCGATGGTAGAAATTAGCATGTTCAAGGCTTATTATCTACCTAAAGATGCTTTCGTGTCATATGACTTTCTAGATAGCCAAGACCTTTCCATGTGCTCAGACTTGAGTGAGATGATGAAAGAAAAAGATTAGAATTTTTCTGAGTCTAATATTGTTAGTGAATTCTGGGATGTTCCTAGAACTTCAGATAAAACAACAATAAGTTAATTGTTACTTGTTAAACTTTTCCATTTTATTATTTTTTTTAAATTTTTTTTTTAATTTATTTATGATAGTCACAGAGAGAGAGAGAGAGAGAGAGAGAGGCAGAGACATAGTCAGAGGGAGAACCAGGCTCCATGCACCAGGAGCCCGACGTGGGATTCGATCCCATGTCTCTAGGATCGCGCCCTGGGCCAAAGGCAGGCGCTAAACCGCTGCGCCACCCAGGGATCCCCAAACTTTTCCATTTTAATAGGCATCTCTCCTTTCTGCTTTTACCTCTGTTTTAAAATTGAGGAAGCTGAAAGTAAGGTACAGAAAGACTTTTTAGAAACTTGTTCAGGGTTACATAGCAAGCAGTTAAAATTGTAGAACACGGACTGAAGACCAGGCAGTTTGACTCCAAAGTGTGTATGTTAATCATTGTTCTTTATGCCTGTGTACATACTACTTTTACAACCATTATGTTTTTTTATAGTGTTTCTAGTTTTTGTATGAGGATATTGAAATTCAGAGAACTTAATTGTCAATATATAGTTATTAAGGGGCAGAACTTAGACATAAACCAAGGTTTCCCTGACCTCATAGTCCAGTGTAGTTTCTTCATAAGTGGTTCCCTAACATCACAGGCTAACTACACAGTGAAAATAGAGGGTAATGGTTACTCTAAAAATGTGTAGCCATGTTTGCTGTTGAAACCATGTTGCATTATTATTTAAACCCCAAATATGAAAATTGAAAAATTAAGATGAAAATTTAGGGCAGCCCGAGTGGCTCAGTGGTTTAGCGCCGCCTTCGGCCCAGGGCGTGATCCTGGAGACCCAGGATTGAGTCCCACGTCGGGCTCCCTACATGGAGCCTGCTTCTCCCTCTGCCTGCGACTCTGCCTCTGTGTCTCTCATGAATAAATAAATAATTTTTTTTAAAAGATATAAATTTATAAATTTTTAAAAAGATATAAAGATATAAATTTATAAAGATTTTGATTTATAATTTTTAAAATCGTTAGTCTTCAGAACCAATTTAAAAGATTTATAGAAAGAAACAGCTTATAGAAGAGGCAGTCCTGTGATTTAAGCATATAGATATCTATAGTTAGCCTGCTTTGGGGTACTAACATTCCACATTCAATGGTTATTTGGTACAGAATTCTTAGTAGATAAGATTTTACCAAAGCATAAAATAAATTTTCGCAGAAGAAATGTATTTTGAAGTCTTTCATTCAAATATTTCTTATTAAAAAAAACAAATATTTCTTATGTATCATGAAAGTCTGGGGGAAACCTTTGGAATCTCATTTTATGTAGGTTCTCCTCTGTCCTCTAAGACTACAAGCCCTCTTCTAACCATCAAGAGGAAGTTTTCTACTCCTTTCAAATCATACTTAATCTTCCTTGATTCCTCTTTTAAAAAATTCTTCCTGGTATTTATTCTAAAACTAGAATAAATGTGGAATATAGTAAGGGACAAGAGGAGGAAATTTTCACCTAGACATTATATGGTAAATAATTTTGTAATTATGAATACCTCAGTTAAGTTGTATAGTTTAGTCTTGCCCTCCTGAATCCCAAATACCTAGAAATCCCATCTGTATTTCTTTCAAGTGCCATTCATCTTGTATCCCTGAGGAAAAATTGGTAACATCCATGAAAAATGGCTAGGGTAGGCTCAAAAAAGTTGAAAAAAGTAGTTAAAGCTTAAATAAACAGAACATTGTATATGGGTACACAAGTAAAAAGATTGAGTTATATCTACAAAAGGATTAGGTTTTTGGAAAAGAAAATACTGTATTCTTAAGGAGAAACCTGTGTGTAGTTTAAGGAGAAAGTGTAATGTTAAGGAGAGCTTCTGCTCATAGCTTTACTTGAAATAATTACCTCATGGGCCGCCTGGGCAGCTCAGTCAGTTAAGCATCCAACTCTTGATTTTGGCTCAAGTCATCATCTCAGGCTTGTGGGATCGAACCCACGTTGGGCTTTGTGTTCAGTGGGAAGCCTGCTTGGGATTCTCTCTTCCTCTACCCCACCGCTTGTGCATGTGCATATTCTCTTAAATACCTGTCCTAACACTTGTGGTCACAAGTAGAATGAGATTACTCACTTTGATTTGCTTCTTCTAATCCTTCCTTTGTTTGCTGGAACCTTTCCTTCCTTCTTTCCTTCCTTCCTTCCTTCCTTCCTTCCTTCCTTCCTTCCTTCCTTCCTTCCTTCCTTCCTTCCTTCCTTCCTTCCTTCCTTCCTGATTTTATTTATTTATTCATTAGAGACATAGAAAGAGGCAGAAACATAGGCAGACAGAGAAGCAGGCTCCCTGGAGGAAGCCTGTGCAGGAGACACAAAGAGCGGTAGAGATATAGGCAGATGGAGAAGCAGGCTCCCTGCAGGAAGCCTGTGCAGGACTTGATCCCAGGACCCTGAGCCAAAGTCAGACGCTCAGCCACTGAGCCACTTGGGTGCCCCAGGAACATTTTTTTCATCTTCATTTACATGTACTAGTTTCTTTGCATGTCTCTCTTCTTACCTTTATTCCACTAACGTCTAGAGAATTGGAATACAAGAGTAGATCTTGTGATGTTTCTAACAATGACACAACATTTTCATTGCTAGGGCAGGTTTTTGCTGGCTGGTCAGTTAAAAAAAATAAAGGGTAGATGTGACTGTACCAATGTAGTAAATGAGGTTTTAAAATTGGCCCAAACATTTTAATGTTGTTAGACTGAGCAAAATGCTTGTGACTAAAGTGTTTGTAAATAGGAGAGTAGCCATTTATCCTAAGTTCCAGTGTGTTCTTATAAGCAGAAATTATTATTTGTGACATTTAGGTTTGTTTTCAGAAAAGAATATTGGAATAAGATACCTTCTTAAAAAGGTATGATATATACTTATTTCTAATTGAATCTTAATCTTCCATCTATTTAATATGTATATTTAAATGTATATTATGATAACTTTATCAAGACATCTCAATACTAAAGATACCAACTGTGAAAATTACATCATTAGTTAGCTGATAACATTGTAAATATTTTTTCTTGCTCATTTCTAAAATTACAGGAGCTTAATTTGTAGGACAGTTTTTCCAAAATTTAATAGCAGAATCGATGTTTAATATTCAAGCCAGTAAGCATGTATAGCTTTTTGAGAATTTTTTAATTCTTATATTTCAGAAAAGTTTTTGCTGTTTAGATGTAGGCTTCTTAAAATACTTAATAAGAAATTTTTATATACTTAAAAGTTTTTTAATTGATTTTTAAAAATGGCTTATAGATTGCACACCTGGCCCAAATCGAAGATGATAGAGCTGCAATGGTTATTTCTTGGCATCTGGCGAGTGACATGGACTGTGTAGTCACCCTGACCACTGATGCTGCACGTCGCATCTATGATGAAACCCAAGGTCGTCAACAGGTCTTGCCCTTGGATTCTATTTATAAGAAGACTCTTCCAGATTGGAAAAGGTTAGAAAAAAGTGGGAGTGATGATTTTTTTCTGAAATATCTTTTCTGTTAACAAGAGGCTTAATTTTAAAATGGTTTCTATAAAAGATCCCTAAAATTGAGCAGGGACTCAAATTATCTAGATTATTTTTATCTTCATTACAAATGTGTATACTTCATGAAAGTGGGTATTGCAGTGTATTTACTCATATATGCTGGCCATATTTAATTTGCCAAGTAAATCTTACTTGTATATAAGTTACACAGACACATACAAACCCAAAGAAGATTTTTGGCTTTTACATAGGAAGGATGTCAATATCATTGATGAAATATGAAACTCTTTTATTTGGAGTAAGGGTATAGATGAATGTGTTTTGTCCTGTTTGTCCATTGAAGATAAGTAGTCATGTTTTAGGTAGAGAAGATCTCTATTGGAACTGCCAGTAACAAAGTTGAAATGTAAGAGACTATCTAGTTAGAATGTTTTATTATTTTGGTTTAAGTAATTATTTCCTCATTTACTTTTCAAAATATGTTTTTAGGGAATAACCATGCAAACCAATTAGGCTTTTTTTTAATCTAAATTTAAAAGTACTTTATATATAGTCTGATTTTGACCTTAAAACACTGGAAGGAAATGCTAACAAAACAAAAAAATGTAGAACAGTATTGTTAATTTTCTCAGATTCCTAAACAAAGCTTTACAATTGGGTAGGAATAGGGACTATAAGGAGAATAGGAACTCTAATATATTAAGAGCTTACTGTATTATTAAACTAAATGTAATTCATTGTAATCTGAAAATAGTTTTAGGAAACAACCAGAATTTGAACTCAAATCTATCAGTTTCTAAAAACTCCTGCTGTATTACTGGTCAGTACCCATTTTAAACAGTATTGGAAATCTAGTCAGATCATAATTCCTGTATTCATAATACTTTTTGTGTGAATAATTTTTCCCTTTGGGGGCGCTTCTTTTATCAGCGGAATCTGTGAAGACAAAGTTAAGAATCTTTGATTTAGGGAAAATATGGATTTGGTATTTAGGACTAATGTTTGCACCAGAAACTAGTTATCCTGTCTGTTCCTGGTGTTGTAGCTCTTATTGAGATTGAGTTAATTAGCTCCTAGAACCACCCCTACCTACCCTCCAGCACTCATACTTTGAAGACTTGTGAAAAGCTATGCCACATGGAACCATGAGAAAGGTCCTGACACTCCAGTCAACCTCCACTTCTTGAATAACATTGTTTTCTCTGGGCTTCAGTTGTTCATTTTGTACTGTGTGGGAAGGCACAGGGAGCCAGAGTACCAGATCTGTCTCCCTCACGTGGATATCTTCCCCTGTCCATACTTGGGCCACTCTCCACATAATATAGTCATATTATTGGCATCCGCATTTAGGACTAGTTTTAGAGGCTGTTTTTCTTTTTCCCTTGTCAAACTCAACAGTCAGTTTATATTAATTTTAGTAGACAGATAAAACTAAGTAGATATTCTTATATAGTAAATATTCTCATTTCTAAGAGTGTAATAGTTAATCATTAGGAGTGTCACTTGTGGATGGGGAAATGATTTAAGTGATCACAATATATTTTTTATTAGAAGTATATTTTTAATATATTTTTAAATTTTCTTTTTATTCAGACCTCTACCTCATTACCGAAATGGAAAATTGTATTTTAAACCCATTGGAGATCCAGTCTTTGCCCGAGATTTGTTAACATTTCCAGATAATGTAGAACATTGTGAAACAGGTAAAGGAAATTATGGTGACTTTTTAATAGAGATCTTACACTTATGATCCAGATATACAAATTACTGGTTGTAGAAATTTATGTTCTTATTTATTTAATAAGTTATAGTTTTATCAATATTTTAATCTTATTTTTTCTTGTTAAAGTGTTGAATAAAATTCTAATGTTACTGTTCTTCCTAAGAAAATTTTGTAATGTGTTAATATTTTAATATAGCCAAAAAGGATGTCATAATTTTTTAAATTTCATTTTTTAGTATTTGGTATGCTGTTAGGAGACACCATTATTTTGGATAATTTGGATGCTGCCAATCATTATAGAAAAGAGGTATGTATTTGAGGTTTTTTTTTTTTAATTTGTAGCTCTAATTTTAATGTATATTTTTAAAGCTTAACATACTAGGGCCCTATATAGAAATAATTTTATGATAATGTTCACATGACTAACCTTGTCAAAACTGATTTAAATCCTACAAATTGACAAGCAGTGCAAAAATGGGTATAATATATGAATGAATGGGCCAAGAAACAACTTCAAATGAGATATGTTTTTGGGATTTGAAACTTTCCAAAATCCAAAGCCAGTAGCTACTATTGATGATAGTATTGGAAAAAGAGTATTCTCAGATAATGTTGGTGGAAATGTAATTTGGTGTAACTCTTATTTGTTGTTAGGACTGCTGTGATAAAGTACTACAGACTAAGTAGCTTAAATAATAGAAATTGATTGCCTCACAATTTTGGAGGCTTGAAATCCAAATTCAAGGTATGAGCAAGATTGATTCTTTGTGAGAGCTATGAAGCAAGGGTTTGTTCCAGGCTTCTCTCCTTGGTTTGTGAATGGTCATCTTCTCCCTGTGTCTGTTCATATTATGCCTGTCTATATCCCCTTCTTATAAAGATACCACTTAATAGATTAGTACCTAACTTTATGACCTCATTTTAACTTCGTTATTTCTATGAAGACACTTATCTTTAAGGTCATGTTTGGAGAAATTGAGGGGTTAGGACTTCAACATTGGAATTTTGCAGGACAAAACTAATAACACCTTTGAAGGGCAGTTTGCAATATAAATGTTTCAGTTATCTATTGCTACCTACCAAAACACTGCAAAAATTAGTGGCTTTAAACAATAACAACATATTAGTTCTCAGGTCCCTGTGGACATCTCTGAGTAGTGTTAGCTAGTTGCAGTGGTGGCTAGTTACACTTAGAATGGTGGGAGCTCCAAAGTGCCTCACTCACACAGTTGGCAGTTGGTGCCAGTTAACTTTCTGAGAATTCAGCTGCATCTGGCAACAGGCTCAGCTGGCTCTGTCTTCTGGGATTACTGTTTTCACACACATCTCTACCCCAGGGTGCTGTAGTATAATGCCATTAAGAATTTTTAGAAATTCTTATCTACTTAAGAGAATCTAAGGAAGCAGTGCCTTAAACCTGAGGCCATAACAAAGGGACATCCTTAACCTCAGGATATATTTTACAAGCTGGGCACTGTATTTTATTCTTAGTTCTGAGCTCTCCATTTTGGTCACAGAATAAGCCGGAGATAAAAATCACCCAGCACATCCAAGATTAGAAGTATTTCCTCAAAATTATTTTTATTTCCTTATTATATTTATTAATTTCCTTGACATTAGTTCCTATTTTTATCTACCTCCCACTCATACTGACTAGATGATATTGGCTACTGCCTAGGCATTCAGCTATAAGCTGGCAGACTTGGATCTCTCCAAGTGAAGATATATATGAGTATAAAAGATTTTATAATGAGAAACATTGGAAACAATTTTAAATGTCCATCATTTAGGATTGGACAACTCCATTATAGTAATTTATACAGTAGAGTATATGTTGCTGTTTATAAAGTGTAATAAGTTTTTATGTCCAAACAAAGAAGGTGTACAAAATATATTTTGTTGAAAAGGTTAAAATTATGTATAAAATTATTCTTTCTTTTTAAAAAATAAGCTTATGGTGGTGAGGGGACAGGCAAAATGGGTGAAGAGGAGTGGGAGATACAGACTTAAGTTATGAAATGACTAAATCATGGGAATAACAGACACAGCATAGGAATATAGTCAATTATACTATGATAGCAATGTACGGAGACAGATGGTAGCTACATCTGTGGTAAGCATAGCATAAAGCATAGAGATGTGGGATCATTATGTTGTACACTTGAAACTAATATAACATTGTGTATTTCCTATACTCAGAAAAAAAATTAACTTAAAAATATATGAGTTATGTACTCTAAACTGAAGAATGTATTTTATACTGTTGGATATACTCAAGAGTTATCAATTCTGTTTTACTTTTAAGTTTTACTTATGAAAAAAGAAATCTCAAGGAGGGCCTTTCAGAGGACTGTTCTCTAGAGGTTGAATAAAATAATACATATAAAGCATTAAGCATAGAGTCTGGAATATGGTAAAATTTCATTAAAGTTCTCTTTGTATCTGAGATCCAGGGGTCTTGAATTTTTGTAATACACAGGAAGGATTACATTTAGTGAGTATAGTGTTAGGAGCTTGAAATTACCAAGTGATAAACATGTATGAAAAATATAGGTTTGTGAGTTAACTATAACTAAAAATGAGTAAGAATGTTTGTGGTTACATAAGAGAAAACAGGCCAGTTTAAAATATAAGCCAGTATCTATAGAAAGTGTATTCTAGAATCGTGGATACCTTAGAGATAATATATACTCTCACTATATAAATGAGAAACTTGAAGTTCAAAACAAATAATGAAGCTGTACCAAATCACACCAACTTATGGCAGAACTAGAACCATCAGAGAAATTTTCCTTTGGACCCAGTTAAGAAGAGATAAATGTACCCTGATTTACGAGAGCTAAATTAGTGAGATATTGAAAATTATGCAACTAATTGGGGAATAGTATTTGATATTTTCATGAATGTTTCCATGGGAACCTAATAATGGCTATAATAGACTATATCAGAAAATAGTTGTGGATGGAGAAGCTACTATATTCTGGTAGTGATTAGCATATTTATATATCTTGATTTACAGAGTAGAAACCATGCCCATTAAATGTCATGACAATATAGAATCTATTAGGAGAAGATGAGAAACTTACTAGTGAGGATAGACTTAACAAATTTGGATAATAACTAAGGTTCTACTTATTCAACATTTGGACACTTGACTATATGAGATACAGTGGATGCAATTACATGTTGAACAACTGGCTCTCTGGTCAGTGGGGTGATGGGACCCTGGTTTGTAGCTTTTGCCCATGGTGTATTCCTATCATGGCTGATTTCCAACTGCCTATGTGCAGCCATTGAATGAAGTGCTCAAGAAGATTGGCTCTCATGACCCAGTAAATTCTTGCTCCAGCACATCCTCCAGGCACCGTGCTAGGCACAGAGGGTTATACAGAGATGGACTAGACAACTCAAATTCTTGCAGAGATTAACTAAAAGGCTATTTCTGGCTATATATATCATTAGAGTATGTATCTTCATGTTTGAACTGGCAAAAAAGTAAGGTTTCTAAGTGATGGTAGAACTCAAAGATAAATAGAACAAGCCAGGTTTTGCTTAGAGAACATGTGTCAAACTAATTGAAATTGAGCTCAGAGAGTAGGAAATTGAGTGTCTCAGAGGACAGGAAACAAAACCCAGGGCTTTAATCAGAGTGGGGAATCTGATTCCCAATAACCGGATCCCCCAAAGGGCTAATAACCCTTAGTATAAGTTGAGCAAAAATCCTGCCATTTCCATTTCAACTCCCAAGTGCCTCTGCAGACTGCAAGATAATTATCGCTCTTGAATCTTGGCACCAGGTAGAAAAGGAAAAACAAAACAAAACAGGTTGTTTTCCTAGAGAATTCATCAATATCAATAAATTGGCCTTTGTTTGCAACCAGCATTCAATAATACTTGAGTGGTCTGAAAAATCTCAAGGTAAACATTTGGTTTCACATGGTGCTGGACTGGTAGTGTCCTTAGATACCTGATTGGAGGAAACACAGATTATCCCTGGAAGAATTCATCTTTATCTTAGACCTGAAGTAATTTCCATATTGAACATTAAAGCAAATATTTTTAAAGTGTATTTAATATAATTTAAGAAAAGTTGAAAATGAGAAAAGAGCAAGTTGACTTGAAAAAATAAATAGAGCTTCGTTAAAACTAGAAAATATACATTAAGAAAAATAAGATTCTCACTGGGAAAGTTAAACAGCTTAAGGGAGAATTAGTGAATTGGAAACTAGGTCAGAAAAATTGTCCAGACTGCAGCCCAGAAAGAAGGAATGTAAGGAGGAGCAGGTTGAGAGTCATGGACAAAATGAGAAAATCCCAAATAGTAAATAAAGTCTAATCAGAGTGCCAGAGTGGAGGTAGAAAAGGATCATAAGGCAGTATCTGAAGAATCTAATGGGTGAAAACTTTTTCAAATTGATGAAAAACACTGATCCATAGCTTTAAAAAAGAATGTAGAGGTGCCTGGGTGGCTTAGCTGGGTGAGCATCTGACTCTTGGTTTTGGCTCAGGTTGTGATCTCATGAGTCGTGGGATCAAGCCCCACATTGGGCTCCACACTCCGCATGGAGTCAGCTTGAGGATTCTTTCCCTCTGCCCCTCCCTGCACTCACTCTCTCGCTCTCTCTAAAATAAAATGTAATAGAATATATGACAAAAGCTGGTGCATTATTTGTTCCTCATAATTGGTGTAGCAAATACTGATTGCTTTGCTTCTTAAGTTTTTAATCAAGTCTCGTAATTCTACCAGTTAAGTACTGTTGGAAAGCTTTTCTGAGAAAAGGCTTTTATGGCATCCCTTTGTAATACTGTTTTTGCTAGTGTTACTGTTTTCCCTTCCTCAATACTTTATGCCATTTACTACTTCAACCTGTCAGCTCCTCTGTTTATTCTACCCCCACTCCTAGTCCCCACAACAGTGTTGAATAGGTATTTCCCAGAGCCATTGGACTGTTGCTCACTCACTGAATTTACAAAAGCTGTTATTACCATTTTTGTCCTAATTGAGTGCTTAGAAAGGTAGAACTGTAAGACTGAAGGACACTTTGAGACTTGAAATTGTCCATGGAAGTAATATTTGCAGAATTGTTGTAGAAGGGAGCCAGACTGTCCTTTTTACTGGAGGCTTGTAACTCCTACTGTCAGTCTGTTAACAAGAAAATGGACAAGTCTATAAATTTGAGTGTGTGTTAATTTAATATGACATCAAATCCTTAAAAATATGATCTGAGTTCTGATAAATGGATAGTACATGATTCCAGTTTGTATTTTTAATGTTCACTTTAAGAAAACATATTAAATCCAAACTAAAACTAAAAAAGATGTGATTGTAGTAAAACAAAATTATAGTAAAACAAAAAGATTGATTTCACCAAAGAGTTTATCATAGATTTTCCTCATATAGTCATCTTATTGCATTTAAATTTTCTTTTTAAGATTTTTTATTTTTGAGTAATCTCTACACCCAACATGGGACTCAAACTTAACACCACAAGATCAGGAGTCCCATGCTTTACCAGCTGAGCCAGTCAGGAACCCCTGCATTTAAATTTTTTTTAAGTATCCACTTCAATGGGAAAACATTTGTAAAGTACCTCTGGAATTATATTAAAAGAATAAATACTAGTTATGATTTTATGTTATATTTTTTTCATTTATATTTTTCATTTTTAAAAATCAAATTTAATATTTTTATAATTCAGACTAAGCCCAGTATTAGATTGAATTAGGTATTTTTACATATTGTTAAATTATATTCTTCAATCATTTTTTAATATATGTGTTCTATTTCATTGTATGGATGTACCCTAATTTATGTAACTTGTTGAGACATGCAAGTTTCATATCTTTTATTAAAACAGTGTTTTAGCGCAAATTGTTCACATCTGTGATTTTTCTTCAGAATAAATTCTTAGAAGTGAATTGCTGGGTGGGTCTTGCAAAACCAAGCTTTTTAATACTTACTATATTTCCTTTGAGAAAGGCTGTCTCAGAATAGATTAGTACAAGAAGACTTTCTCCCTAGGTCTCCCAACATTTCAGTGTGTGGTATGTCTTAACATTCTGAGTAGTCAAAAGATCTTACTTGAATTCTGCCTCTCTCATTTTACATTTTATTTTTGTCTATTTCCTAGGCCTTTTTTGAAAGACCATTCTTAGAGATCATGAAATGCTAAATCCAATGTCTTTCTTTTATTGTCCGACTTCTCTGAAGCATCTGATTCTTCACTAACCCTTCCTACTTCGCACTCCATGACTTAGGCTTTACTATGTATTTCTAGTCATCCCAACTCTGACATTACTAGCTCTTTTTCTTCCCATAGTTGAGATCATGGTATTATCCTCTAAAGATTTAGCCTGTGCTTTTCTGTCTGTATTCTTCAGTCTCATATCCTCTTTTTGCTCTCCCTTGGTCATCTGGAAAATTTGTATCTATCTAATAGAAGGAAACTGAGGTAGTGATGCTATGCTTTTCAGATCATGGCTCTCTGGCTTCTCTCTTCCTTATTATTATCAATTAAGCCGTCAGTTTGACTGTTTCCATTTGCATTGTCGCTATTCCAGTGTAGGTTGACACAAGAAGTAATTAATTCATCTGGCCTGCCTCTAGGTTTTTACACCCAGTTCATCTTATATTTCACTAGTTTATTTTGTGAAAATACTACCATGACCATGTCATTACTAATCTTAGGACCCATAGTGATTTGCTCATTCTTAAAACAATTGAGATACATTTTATAGGCTCACTAACTAATATTCATTTGCTTACAATAGGTTGTTAAAATTACACACTGTCCTACACTGCTCACCAGAGATGGAGATCGCATTCGAAGTAACGGAAAGTTTGGGGGTCTTCAGAATAAAGCTCCTCCGATGGATAAACTTCGGGGAATGGTATTTGGAGCTCCAATACCAAAACAGTGCCTGGTCTTAGGGGAACAAATAGGTAGGTTGAATAAGTACTTAAATAACAATTTCTCATTTGATTTCAATCCTTTGGGGCTTATGTATGATACTCTAACATGAAAAATTAACCAGTAAAATATGAATACAATGTTTTTATCAACTACCTTTTTATGTCAGGTAGTTTTGAATTATATAGAAGGTAGGTGACTAGATTACAACTAAGAACTTTAATTTTAGGGTGCATGACACGTGACCTCCCTCCCCAGTTTTCCCTTCTGCAGGCCTTTCCCCTTTACATGAGGTCGGTCCCCTGCAGGCTGTTTGCTCTTTTATATAGTTATAATATGCTTGGGTATCTACTTTTGTAGCAAGAAAGTCATTGTCATTATTAGCTTTAAAAATGTTTTTGACTACTCTAAACACCTCTTAGAAGCAGAATCATATACGGTTATTTGTCCTTTTGTGACTGGCTTATTTCACTTAGCATAGTGGCTCCCAGATGCATCTGTGTCGTAGCATGTGTCAGAATTTCCTTTCTTTTTAGGCTGAATAATATTCTCCTGTATCCATATACTTCATTTTCTTGTTAACTTTTATTAAAGCATTATATGCACATAGAAAAGTATGCACTTGGTAAACACATAGCTTGATAGATTTTTACAAAATGAGCACTGCTCCTGTATTAAGGAATAGAATATGATAGATCCCACAGAAAGTCTCTTGTGCACTCTTCTGTCACTGCCCAATCCCCTTTCGAAAGGATAACAACTTCCTTGACTTAACAGTATGTCTGTTTTCATAACTTACGTAAATGGAATTATGCAATGCATACTTTTTTTGCGTATCTGACTTTGTTCATTCAATCTATGTATGTTAGTTACTCATTTTCATGGCCAGATAATATTCCATCATATAAATATACTGTAGTTTATTTCTTTATTCTGTTGTTAAGGAACTTGGATAGTGTTCAGCCTGTGATTATTACTTCAGCCACCAGCAATATTTAAAGTAATAGCTGGGAAAGATGGTGAGAAGAAGGTTGTTTTGTGTTCTTTTATGATATGATCAGTCAGGTACAGCTGAAAGAGGAGATCCAGGAGAGGCTCAAGAAAACAATGTGTAGTATACTCACAAGTCTTAGAGACAGGAGGTATACCATATACCACTCAGGACCATAGGGAAAAACACAAGTATGGTGAGGAGACAGAAGACCAGAGCAAGGAGAGTGCTTAGGCTACAGCCTTTATTGAGGTTTCCATAGGAAAAACAAGGCATGGCAGGGCAAACAGCTTGGGATCAACTACTATGAATAATTTCAGTGGGCTTTGGGCTATAGATCGGATCTCGAGGCAAGGGATGATGATTAAGGCAAAGGAATACTGCTGCTTGGGGTGCACAAGCCAGATAGAAGAGGTTTGGCTCTAGATTGGTTAGTTTGCATGCTAATTGGCCAGCCCCATAAGGGGCAGTCTTTACGCAGTCAGAAAGGTTTTTTTAAGATGCTAAAGCATCATAATACACAGAAAATTAAAATCATATATGATACCAAGGCTGATGCTTCTGTTTATGATGGCAGTGAATGCATGCAAAAATCTCTGTAGACAGTAAGTGAACATCTACACAAACTGATTTTAAAAACATCAAAAAACAATTCAGCAGGACTAGTGAATCAATATAAAAAGCCTCAACTCATATCACTCTAGCACTAACAGCTCATGGCAGTGGTTCCCAAGCCAAAAAGAATTATCTGTGGAACTTTAAAAATGCACAGCTGTCATACTGACAATTTTCAGTTTACCTGGGCTTCTGAATGTTAGTATAACAGTGTGAAGCATCATCTGTATATCTTTGGAAAGCAAACATTGAATTAAAGATTTTTGTGGGTTATCAAATATGTAAAGTTAACAGATAATGCAAGGGTTTCAAAAATACAACAGTTACATATCTTTCTTGGTAAATATCTTCAAAAATACACTACACATACCAACTAATGATTCAGCATTAAGAATTCAAATATTAGGGGCACCTGGGTGTCTTCAGTCGGTTGAATGTTAACTCTTAATATCTGCTCAGGTCATGATTTTAGGGTCCTGAGATTGAGCCCCCCTCAGTGGGGCTCTGCACGTAGCAGGCAGGCAGTCTCATTGGGGTTCTTTTCCTCTGATCCTCCCCCAGCATGTGCGTATGCTCTATCTCAAATAATAAATAAATCTTTTTTAAAAACCCTCAAATATTAATTTTAAAAAAATCAAATGAGATTATTCAAGATTATTGGTATATATAAAATACTTCTGGTTGTAAGCCAGTAGCAAACAGCCCTGACCACTTTAAGCATGATGGGAACGTACTGGCAAGAAATTGGAAGAAATTACAGATTCAAAGGAGATTGGAAACAGCCAAGATAAAGTCAAGGATGACTGTGACATTCAGCAACCTTGAATTCCTTGCACCACCTAGACCTCAGTTTGCATTTTGTAACATGACTCAGACTCTGCACTCCTAGGCAAGGGAAATTCCTTCTTAATCAGCTAGCCATAGTAAAGTGCAGATAGACGAGAACTTTGAGAAACCTCTTTCTTGTATATCATGGGATTATTAGAGAAAAAGCAATTTATCACCACAAAAATTGTCTACTACTAGCACAATTAAAAGCAAAGTGTCTTCTAAGTAATTATCCCTATACGGTGTTTTGCATTACAGTATTAGATACGAGATATGAGCAAATAAAATTAGCATAAAACAAAAAATAAGTATGTACATGTTATAAAATAAGATGATTAAAAAATAAGATCTTGAATGACATGTAAATACATGAATTTTTTTCATTAAAAAGCAAAGACACTTAGATTTTAAAAAATCTGGTCCTGGGATATATAAAAATTCTGTCATTTGTCATTTGTTGGGTGCTTAATATATGTCAGAAAGTATAGTAAAGTTAGATGAAGTGAATAAAAAGAGAACTTTGTGGCAATTTAAGTAAGTGACCTACACAGTCCACATGATTAGTAAACTATAAAACAGGAATATCTTTTGTAAAGGCTGTGTCTCTCTATGACACTCCTTTATGTTCTTTACAAGGAATCTCCTAAACAAAATATAAATTAAAATAATTAACAAAAATGTCATGTAAATATTAAATAGAAGAAATCACCAGTAACAAGTATTAATCCCAAAGCTGACCTCAAGGCAAAGGCACTAGAAGTGCAAAGATAAATTCATTTTGATGAAAGGATGTATTCCACACTACAGGTACAAAACTAAATAAACTTGATGCAAAAAATACAGAACCTAAATTTTTAAACTGGTAATAATAGAAACATTGTTTTGAGGAACAGTTTTTCTGTGATAGGTTATTGGTCAAATACACAAGGAATTACCACGTCTAATAAGTATTACCAGTACTTTCTTCGGTATTTATAGAGTATGTCACAAAAATTGGTCATGAGGGAACCCTGGGTGGCGCAGCGGTTTGGCACCTGCCTTTGGCCCAGGGCGCAATCCTGGAGACCCGGGATTGAGTCCCACGTCAGGCTCCCGGTGCGTGGAGCCTGCTTCTCCCTCTGCCTATGTCTCTGCCTCCCTCTCTCTTCAGAGAATCAAATTGCTACTCAGCTATAATGAGACTATAAATTTTAAAAAGCAAGTCTTATATAGGAGGCATTTTGTAGAATAATGTATTAGAACTTTAAAAGTAATTATTCCTTTCATCCCAAAGTAACTACCCCAAATAGTGGACATTTAGAAAAAAATAGTTCATCAAAAAAGAAAAAGCTTAAGTGAGCATTACAAACCAGACTTAGACAAGACAGCTGAGATCAAATATCAGATCTATAAGCTGAATGCTTTTATTGTTAAATGAGAAAGCAAATTAAGCATTCAAGTCAAATGATGGGAAAAATATATTTCAAGAAACAAGTACAGCCGAATGAATTAGAAGAAGAAAAAACCTTGTACTGAATATGCAATTCCTAGAGATGGTCTTTAGGCAGGAACAAATACAAGAAGAATGTTGGCTCAGAGGATCTATTTAGACATAGAGAAATCTAATTTCTTAGGTTTCTATAACATTTTAAATACATTTAGCATCTCCAAATAAAATGGACTAAATTATAGAAAATTGCAGATGAACAAAATTGCTTCAAATAAGGCAGAAAACTTACATAGACCATTACCTGAGAAAGTGTTCAAACAGTTCATCCTTAAAGTTTTGTAAGTAAATGTTTAATATACACTGTTGTATAATATAAATATGAATAATATCCACATCATCTTATGAAATTAATAACAAACCTGTTTCCAAAAATAGCAGAGAAAAAGAAAACTAGGGATGCCTGGGTGGCTCAGTGGTTGAACGTCTGCTTTTGGCTCAGGGCATGATCCCGGAGTCCTGGGATTGAGTCCTGCATCAGGCTCTCCACAGGGAGCCTGTGTCTGCCTTTGCCTATGTCTCTGCCTCTCTTTCTGTGTCTTTCATGAATAAGTAAATAAAATCTTTAAAAAAAAAAAAACCTGATATTAACCACTCTTCAGCTATGTTCAGGAAATTCTTGGTACAGTTAAATAGAAATGAGTTTAATATTGAAAGGAACAGTTTAATGGCTTTACATACAATGATTTTGGCCGAGATGTATCTGTACATGACTAGCTTCTTTGCTTTTGGTCCGTACCCTAGTGTTCTGCCTTCAGAAAGAGCTTCCTTGATGACTCTACCTGAAATTAGAAGAGCTTTTTGATACAGAAGAACTAAAAGAAATGAGGAAAGAAAATATAGTTTATTCTTATAGTTAATTTTTTTAAGTTTGCATAAAATTTTAAAGCACTGTGAGGAAAACAGGCAAATGACAAACTGGGGAAAAATTGCAACATATGGTAGACATAGGTGTTATAGCCCTACTATTTAAAGCAACCTTTAAAAATCAAGAAAAAAGTTTATGGAAAAATAGGTGACATAAATAAGCAGTTGTCAGTGGAATAATAATAGTTAATATTTGAAGGCTTACTTATATATTAGATACTTTTTAAGCTTGTCACTGGATGATT